AAACTAAGATAGGTTTTGAGGGACGGCGGAGATTAGACGTGTAACAAATGCCCAAATGTGCCAGGAAAGTGCTTTTTAATTTAATTTGTTTGTTCAATGTTTTTTGAAAACAAAACTCTGACAATATTAATGTATCTTTAGATGTCTGTAAATGAGATAATTAAATCTACAGTAATTACTTGTATTTTATGAATCAAATGACCTTCTTTCATGTTATTAGATCAAATTCAAGTGGAGGACATTTTTAACCGATTTTTAGATATTTTTTAGGTTTATTAAGCAAAACGAGATTAATGGTGTTTTACGACATTTTTTAATACAACCCTTTAAATAAGTAGTCTCAGATAATAGATTATTCTACATACGAATACCTTTTAAGCCTTGGATATTGCTAAAATTTACAAAATACTGACAGACACACATTGGGCACTAAAACATAAATTATGAAGGTAGAAATTCTATATAAGAAGCTGGGTACATTTTATTGAAAAGATTATTATGGAAAAAATGGTGAAAATCTGCATATAAATGATATCCACTTTCGGTTAATAGCATTTTAATACAAGAGGGGACCTCAGGTAGCAATGCGTATACCTAGTACTCACCGTGAATTGAAAGTACATATTATCACTGCTACCCACCTAATTACACAGACGTATCGTCGGTGTATCATGGCGGAACTTCCTCCGGGTCAAGGTTTCGGTAAGATTTTTTTATTTCCCGATTTACACCTACTTATAAGTCACGTTGTGGATAATAATTTGGCTCGAAGTTAAGGAAGATAGTCTAGTTTGAGAATGTGTCGATGGTTTTAGGTTTTATATGTTAACAAAGACACAATTCACGTATTTAGTCCCTCGCTTTTCTTACACTGACGATCGGCATTAATATTGCCAATATTACACTGATATTGGTCGTTCGTCAGTGTAAGAAAAGCGAGGGACTAAATACGTGAATTGTGTCTTTGTTAACATATAAAACCTAAAACCATCGACACATTCTCAAACTAGACTATCTTCCTTACCTTCGAGCCAAATTATTATCCACAACGTGACTTATAAGTAGGTGTAAATCGGGAAATAAAAAAATCTTACCGAAACCTAGTCCCGGAGGAAGTTCCGCCATGATACACCGACGATACGTCTGTAATTAGGTGGATAGCAGTGATTATGGCAACTTAGGATCAAAAGTTATATAACACATGGGTTTGGATAACTCTCAATCCACAGACCCAGGTTAAACAATTCCTGATTTAACAGGTAATCCATATCAAAAACCCAATTAGATTGTACTAAAATAACATGCAGCCCCAAGAAAATAGCATTAAGTTTCAAGATGACCGTCAGACTAAACATTTCAGTTATTCATTTCTTTGGCAGATGTATCTTGTTTTGCTCGAACTTTTAGCCTAATTGCAAATCCCAATATTTATCTTACATCATATCCGACCGTATTGTACAATCTTACTTCAATTAGTACTAACATCAATGATTTATTACACAAAATATGGTCAAGGGACACACATTTACTTTACATTGTTGCCCATAATCATAGAATATTGTCCATTATTACCACCTTGCCGGGCCAGTTCTAGGGGTTTTAGTGCTAGTTGAGAAGGCATTCATTTTACTATATCGACCTGAGAAATATGTGACGTCATAGTGGTGGTCCATATGGACCGGTCTAGAATATATTCTGGACCGGCAATTTTCCCCGGGAAATTAGATATCGTTCAATGCGTAAGATTTTCTTGCTGTTTCAGTCCTGGTCGTTAACGGTGGTAATAATACTAATAACGTCATTTCTGCGATTGCCCTTAGAAATGACGTTATTGTACTATTAATTAACAACGGTTGATTTTCTTCATATATTGCCCGATTACTTCACAACCAGAGAAAGGTGAATTGATCGAAGTATTTTGTCCGTCCGTTCGTTCGCTCTCTCGTTGATCGTCTGTTTCGTCAATAACTCATATACCGGTTAACAGATTTTAAGTGTCTATCACTCATCAACATACAGAAAACTTACATGTAATAATTGGAGTAATCCCATCTTGAATCCTCCAGGGAGGATTGGCTCCCAGAATGCAATCTCGATAGTTTCCAACAATCATTACTGAACATGGCTATCATAATCAGCAATCAAAATGCCATGATTTGAGGAAATATATTGATCACTTCTGCTAGTGTGTTTTGTTTTAATTATGCAAAAGGATTGAAAATCTGAAGTGAAAAAACGGCGACAGATAAATTTTGAATTTCACAATCGGGGCATCCTTCAAGGTTGGGCTTATTTACCCGTGTGTTAATGTACCAAATGAAATGAAAGAATATGAAAATTGCATCCTGGAAGCCAATTCTCCTTTCTATTGGTGTATTAAAACCACCATGGAAGTCAAAGATGGGGTGTCATTGAGTATTATTTTCATTGGTAGTACATTCCCGTTTATCCTATGGATGCAAAGATGTTATGATCAAATATCACGTGAAGATATATTTGTTATGTGGAGCAAGATATCACATTTTAGCAAATATTTGATTGTTTCAGAAGTAATATTCGATCGTTTCAAAAGTGATATTCGATGGTTTTGACAATGTTTTTCCGATTTTTTTTTCATTAAAAAAAACAATTTTTCAGGATTTTTTTTTTGAAAAATCACAATTCTTTTCGAATTTTTTTCTGAAATCTTTTCAACATTTTTTTTCGCAGGGTAGTGATTTCCCGTGAGATAAACTGACAATTTCAAGTCACAAATGGTTTTTCAAAAATATCAATCATATCCACTCATTTTATCAATATTTTCACTCATTCGCTGCGCTCACTCATGATGGATATAAATGATATCTTTTTCAAAATCATTGGATATTCCTATATTATCCTACACTTAGTGTACTAAATGTATAATAACATTAAAAAATAAATTTGATATTTATGGGCAAAATGAATATCCGGAGGATATCGTGACGATATACTCCGGGCGGAGGATATCGTGACGATATACTCCGGAAAACCCAATATGCGGAGGATATTGTGACGATATACTCCGCTTGTTGATTTCCCGCCAAATTGACTCTATTTGGCATGAAATTCATTTTGCAATGATATTATACATTTAGTACACTCCTTGTAAGTGTAGGATAATAAGAACATCCTATGATTTTTTTCAGAATATCATTTTAATCTACTCGGTGATATTGATATATGCACTCGTTCGCTTCGCTCTCTCGTGCAGATATCAATACCACCTCGTAGATAAAAATGATATTCCTCAAAATCATAGGATATCCTATAAATATTCAAAAGGTTCATGTGGATATCTAGACCCCAGATAAGAAGTTACAATGACACTGAAGGAACCCCGCATCCAAGACCTATTATATCATCGTGATTAAACCAATAAATCATTAGATGTTAAACATTCAGCATTTCATGTCGCTGTACAAAAAACGTCGATTGAGAAAATTGAATCAGGTTAAAGTACAGGGCGTTCAATAAGTACTGATAAAATTGCAATGTGCATACACTCCCCTCCATAAGTTTGGCAACCTTAGCTCACTCATTGAACTACATGTTAAAACCTCTTTACGTTTGAATCTTTATTTACTTAACCGGCGATGAAATAATTTATAATATTGATGGAACGTAACTTGACTTTATTTCCAATACCTCCAAAGTTTCTAAATTTTTTCCTCAATTACAATAGGTCGAAAATTGATGAGTCAGATGTATTTGATGAATTTTTGCAAATCGTCATTCCCATGTAATCCTATGGGAAATGGAGGGTTCGGGGCAAATCAGAAATCAGAATATCTTTTCGGTAAAAGATTCAGCAAAAGTAGTTTTATATAGAAAATTGAATTGTCTAATTTTTTTGTACACAAAGTGTTCAGTTCATTTGACGAATACTAAAGTTACAGCGCTTCAAAGTCATTTTTGAAAATAATTTTTCGTCTCCTGTGTTATTTCAATGGGAGAGGTTTTTTGAAAAACAATTTCGACTTTAAAGCCTCATAACTTTGTTGGACCTGAAGTAACATATACATTTTTTGTTAAATAAAGTTAGCAAATTCAATTGCCTGCCTAACTCGTATTTTTTGCAAGGACTTGGATGGATGGATATTCTGTCATATGACTTGCGACAAACCTACCATTTCCCATTGGTTAATATAGCAGGCTAGGCGAGTCTCTCCCGAACACTGTGGTATGTTGCACTAGGCTTGGATACTAGGCGTTAATAAGATACAGGGTAAAATGTTATAATGGCCATCTATGGGAAACTTTCTGGAGTCTCCAACCAACAGTCTGAGGCTCGGGAATAAGACACAAACTGTTTAAAATTATTTTTCATTATTGTATTTTAGGCCAAATAGATGTGGTTTAATTAAAATATGTTTTACTGCATCCCTGAATCTCAACAAACAGTTATTTACAACTGGCAAGAAAATTGGATTTGCGGCATTTACGACAGCAACTTTGGCCAAAGTACATGTAGTAAACCATCATACACAGAAGAAACACAGACGTTAAATTGCACACAATGGCATGTCAGCGTTTGACGTTTGGCTTTATATCGTATAGAATGCAACTTGGACTCGGTACAGGTATATACCCAATGGAAATAAAAATCTACACAGAAATGAATCGTTCTCGTAACTTGATGACGACCAATGAGTATGCAACAAAGCAACGTATGAGCATGTGCATTAAATGACGCTCTGAGGGCACCCATCAGCAACCCCGAGGCAAGGATACCCATTAACAGCCAGCAGCAGGAGGAAACCAGCAACGCGGTCTATTAAAACCATGGCCGTGTTTAATAGAACTAATAAGCAATAAAGCAGCGATGAAGAAACATCACAGAGCAGTTTCCGAATATAAAAGAGAATTATAGTTTTTATTCAGAACCGGAATATCATCTTATATAAAACAGGCTAACAGCAATGGAAATAGGCTTGCTATCCTATCAGAAATTCTTCTCACTGATGTAACTCACAGCCATAAGTCGCCCCGGTGATAAATACCTGACAGCGTAAGGAATACTTAAGTTATTTGTCAGTCTATAGTTAACCTAAATCAATTTTGATAAATCATTAGGAATATGATGGCCTCGCAGTTATACCTGTTAGACATGCGTTTGGGATTGATACTGACCGGCATACTGCTGGCGTCGACGCTAACACTGACGGAGCAGTTGTCACAGCACAAGATACATCACAATCACCTGTCCGCTCGGACCCTAAAAGGGGACAGGGAACCAAATTTACACAATACAGGAAAAGAATCAACTACAGCAAAGCAGTATGACAGCAATCAGAAAAGGTATTTGAGTAAATGTAGATTAACACCTTATTAAAGGGTCAACAAAGATTTGGGACGAATTGAGGGAAAACTATTTAAAAAATTTTCGCAATTTTATAATAAGTTTTGGTCTCATTATTCTATTATTTAAAGTTGCAACAAAGATAAGGCCTACTGTATGTTCGAAGCAATCAATCCTTAAGTGTCTACATGTGGATATATCTACAATAGGATTGAAATATCTGATTAACTTGGGAAAATTGAAAAATGGACTCCACCTTTCCAATATAATTACCAGATTGTAATCAAAAAGATTTTCATGATGAAATGAGGGAATTATTTGATTTAAAGAAACACTGGGAAGTATAAATGACATGGAACGCTGTAAACAAAAGATTATGATCATCTTTTAAAAAGCATCCCTCAACTCTCTCATAGTCTTTGTTACACCTTTATATGAACTCAACATGAGAAAGTGTACTACTTTTTTTAGATTTTCTAGTTTGCAAAAATATCACATTACTTACTAAATACATATTTGAATAATCAATGCTTTGATATTTTGCAACGTTTTCACACATACACAACTTACATCAAAAAGCATTAGAACGTATTCTTATATTCTTTTGATGGGGTTTATTTCCGTTGATTTTTACTGGGGTAGTTTATTTACATCTGCATTCTGTTATGGCGTACTGAGACCGAAAGAAATCAGTAGATAGTGAATGCGTAGTGAAACACTTCTATTATTGCTGCAAGCGATCTTCTATAGATGACTAGCCTTTGCTAAAAATGAACTGATAAGTTTCATCGCTAATCTATATCTCTGCTTTTATTAGCTGATGATGGATCAAGGGGCTAAAGGAAATACCATAACAATCAAGGTATACCAAACTGGCTTGTCACTTGATCATTTCGTGCAGTGTAGCAGGTGTCATTTGCGCTCTATCCTATTTTACACAAATAGGTTTTGTACAAATAACGGGATGATATAATACTTTGATAGCATACTGGTACCTGTATAATTGATTGTGAGACTTATATCCCAAAGGCAGCATATGATATAGATGATGTTACATGCATTATTTCCAATACTATGATTTATGACATACTATGATAGCATGCCCGTACAATTTGTTGTTACTGTTATTACAGGAGGCAGCGAAGGATACAGATGAGATCGCAAAATGTTGAATGCATTATTATTTGCAATAAAAAACGGCAATGTTGTATGGTACTCAAATGACTGTTTTGAGACACCATCTTATTTTCGAATTCATATAGTACTCGCATATTGTAGTATGTCACGAGGCACGGCGAAGTAAATGTTCCATGGAGTCCCAATGGGCTCTCGTCCAGTTTGCATCTTTACTGCATTATTGGGTTAACGGTATAATCACATGCCTCTTTGAATTCATTGTATACGAAAACATCTTAGCTTCTCACGGGAGATGCGTAATTTTGAGGACAACCTCTGATAACAGGTTCTTTCAGCTATCTAAGTGTGCCGATGTTAGATCTGAGAGAACACAATACAGCTACAGGGTGTCCCGAAGGTAGGTTTACAGTTTGCAGAAGGAGAGATTGTTGAATAACTGTAAACCCACTTTATTTTTGGGTCACCCAGTATATTTAATATAACCAATACTATGACAAATTCCCTGTTTCTAATCTCTCACAGTTCAGATTTTATGAACTACCATGTATTTTCTTTTCTTCGTGGAGCTTAACTCCGAAATAAGTTTACGTCATCCAGATCAGTACTCAGGCTTGGACGTGTTCGAGAAACACCAAATCCTCCCCAAAAATGTACTAAACAAAACAACTCATTCTGAATCTTTAGTCACTCTTGGTTAAGCATACTGTTCTTCGAGCATTCTACCAGCATAATAGTACTGATTGATAAACTATTCCACCTGCCCAAACATTGCATCCAAGATGATGCATATTTTTTCAAGTAAATTAATTCCTAGCATCTACCATGCACTCAACTACCTTTCAAGTAGTTTGATATTGCTACCTTAAAAGAGAGCTTCATAATCTTAATATACTAGCTAGGCTCTGATACTCAAGACAGCAAACGGTGCTTCCAGAATCTCTTCCATAACCAGAGACAGCTCGTATGCAAAATAGGCAAATGCTTTGCACGCCATAGTGATTTTATATTTCTGCGTCTGTATTTGAGGAATTGTAACCCGGTTAAACCCGTATACACAATGCACGAGGGTGGAGCCGTCGTACATATACATAAATATTTTTAAATCAAATAAAGAATGATACAGGGTTCTTTATTGCAACTCAAATATACTATCACTTCTATAAAAACGACATTGTCCAGTTCTTTATAACACCACAATGCACTGTGATGACGCCACCCTTTTACTAATTATGACACTGCTCAGTTCATTATAAAACCATAATGCACGGCACAATGATGTTTCTCTCAGTTGCCGATATACAGGAGCATTGAATTTATGCCTCTGCATACTCTAGGCTGATTGGCTGAGACACATTCGGCATTTTTGAATAAACACTGCATTACAGAATTCATTACAAAACACTTGACGCCAGATAACATAAGTACCATGAGTTATACATGATAAATGCTCATCTCAGCTATCTCTAATAACCCCCTGTTTTTGATAATCCAACGCTATTATTCCAAAGCACGGTTATTAACATGCTGATAACGATGAATCCAAGAGACATTGCTTAGAATACATCGTCTCCAGTAATTACCAATAATGAGAGGAATATCGAATTAAAGGGCACCGGGAGAATTGCCTTAGATATTTCATTATTCGAACAAAACAATGGGCCTATCTGAACTTACATCAATTTGACTTAGCAGGCTATGACAGGGAAACGCAATTTCAAATTTGCGAGGCGTAGCTCATTGAATCTATCGGTTCTTTGTTCTAATCAACAACCAGGCTTTTTGTGTTTTTATCTTTTTCTGGATTCTTGATCACATTATAGGTAGCAAATTAGGGTTTCCATTGTTATGGAATACAATGGCACTTTTCTTCTTTCTTGATTAGATGATGCCAGGGTTTCCTGTCAGGGGAGGGGATCTCCCAAAGTTCAGTGTTGGTATTGGGTCACGTGGTGTGTGTGTGATTGTTCCATATAAGGCTTATATGACCATATAGGAATTCAACTTACTGTTGTCTGCCATTTTGAATGTCAAGTGAAAGATCCATATAAGGCTTGTAGGACCATGTAGGGAAAGCTAAGGGGAATCCCCTAAAACGATGTAACACCAAAGAATTCTGGGAGCTACTCACTTCTGGGTTCCTGTTGAATCGAGTTCCAAGAGAAACGGAATTCAAAATTGTCAGTATGACATAACGGGGATAATTACAGTGTTCTTTATTGTATTCCTTTTCATATTTAGTTTGTATTTATCATAGTTTTAATTACTTAGCCTTTCATTAACTATTTGATGTCTATTACATAATGATTTATGTTCGTCAAGATTTGTTTAAATCTGTGTTTACTATTAATACTGTAATACTATGGCAATGTACTTCGATATTTAGCGTTCAATTACTTGAAATAATTGACTACTTTCCTCATAAATTCAGAGCTATCTCTCAAATAATTTGTAGCAATTTCAATGAATTCGGCAGCATGGATTAACAATTGAGTATTTACGAATCACTTTCATACTTGAAACTATTAATCAAGTCTCAAATTGACTTAATGAGGCAGCCTAAAGTTCAATCTCGTTGATTTATGTACAGACTTTTGGTGATGAATATCCCAACAATCTGGTAATGTACAGGTTGTCCCGAATGTATGCCCCCCCAGGCAGACATACACCAATGTCCCCATAGTATGTGTCATATATCATTTTAAAGCTTATCCAAAGTTACATTGATTTCCCAAGTATCATTGTTCAACTCACAAATGGGAAAAAGTTACAGGCATTTCAAAACTTAGTGTTTGGCCAAAATTAAAGTTAAATTCAGTATCCTGGAACCAGCACTAGCCTCAATGTGACCAAAAATGTGGATGCTATCGTCAAAGAGAGGATGGATATTGAGTTGTAAAAAGAGATTAGTGAGGGTAGATACTCCAAGGAAATTCTTCTAAAATCTGTATATGCCAGCAATGGGTAATGTATGTGCCCACAATGGTTTATACAGGGTGAGTCAAAAAGGTAAAAAAAGAAATTATTATCCAAACAAATGTATGTTAATAACTCAGCCATTCAGCATGGGTTTAAAGTCATATTTGTAAACTGCCATAAAATCGTGACCATTGATTTTTATGAACTACTTCACCCGACACGTTCAAGTTTGCCTCCAAACACGACGCCGGGAGATTATGAATATTTTTAAAGTGCCATACCTTTACCATAGACCAATGAAACTTTGTAGAATGAAAGAACATTGAACAAGTTTTAGTATGCCAAATATGAATTTCGACTTTCGAGCCTTGCTGAATGACTGAGTTATTAACATGCGTTTAGTTTACCATTTTGACTAACCATATCCACAATGAGTGATACACATGTCCACAATGCATATCTACCACAACAATGGTTAACGCAAATTGAAGACTACATTCAATGTACTACATCTTGTGGAGAAATTCAACATACAATACGTACAGTAATGAATAGGCATTGCGATATTGACTTATTGTCCAATTCATTCCCTGTCACGGTTTGATACAGAATTCGAAGAAGCTATGATATATTGGGTAGGCGATGACATCATGGTAGGTTCAAGGAAAATATGATTAACTCATTCCTTCATAATTTAAAAAGTCATTCCAAAATTATAGGGTAACGTTTTTTGGGATCACTCTGTGTATCCTATATCTTCTTTGATGCACAAAGGTAGCCATTGTCATGACGACTTCCAAATAGTCTTAACTAGAATTTGGAGCAACTGGCACCTTGTGAATCAAAATGAAAGGGACAGAGTTAATTGAAAAGGTCTTGCGATATCAATATCAGCTTTGGACCAAGGATGTTCTTTACACCCCGGGCTCATCACATTCATTTATGGGTCCTACGGGTTCAACCATTCTGCTACGGTTTACTCATCTTATTTCCTTTCTGATAATTAATTACAGACTCATGATGAGATTTAGCAACCTTCTCGTGGTGTTTATTTCTCTCTTATATACTTATCGTTTATTCTTTCGCGAGGCCCAAAGGCTTAGTAATTTCTAATAGATAGATCAAGTGCTCTCTTAAAGGAATGAGGATGGATAGAGATTGTAAAATGTTGACGGATGTCTTTAAAATCAAAAAATATCTGGAATTAAGATCAGAACATTCAGATTTTTCAGAATGACGTGGAATGACAAGAAAAATATGGTAAATTATGTCAATTTCTGTGAAACTTACTCAATTCGTTTTAGTCACTTCTTATTCCTCTAAGGAAGCTAAATCACATTAGAGAGATTTCGCAACTCACTCATAGCATGTTTATTATTCCCGTATAACGCATAACCCACGAAGCGTTCGATTACGTCATCATTTATTGCGCAGTTATACGACTCGTACGTCCATTAGTTTGATATTCTGAGGTTAGCCAACGATTTATAAGTAAAAGCAAGTTGCGAAAAGTCTCTACTATTGAAAAAGGTGTCCTTATATATTCCTCAACCCCTTCAATCTCCCAGGAGGGCATGCGATAATGTTAACACAAACGCTTGCATCAGATGACACTTTCAAGACTATCTTCCAATAAAAGTCCCCAGACAAATCAAGAGTCGAATTATGAACAGAACACAGCTGGGACTTTTCTAAGTGAATTATCACAATTTTTACCCTTTTGAATAATTTCGTTTCGCTTCTTTGTAGTTTCATCTTTGTTATTACTGGGCTTTTTGGGCTCGGTAGGGTTATGGGACTGAGCTGAGACTAACATAAAAATGTTAAACTTACACGCTGTACCATGTAAATGGGCATGTTTGGCTATGTTCATTTTTTCTTTTGAGGACGACTGGCGATATTCACCACGTTTGTACATTTTTGTGAGATCATCCTTTACATTTTGCACCTCGACCGATGTTGCTACTATACCGCGCTTTTCTTTTCTAGTTTTTCTCTGAGTATTAATGACTGTGACTGACCAGTTCTGAGCCAATTTATGAGAGACACTTTTTCATATTTTTGGAAAAAACTTAACCTGAAGTGACCTAAATACACTGGACGAAATACCCTAGATAATTCCCGGGGATTCATTCTAAATTTTGGCGAAGATTTATATTGGCAAATTTTTCAATTTCGCCAAATTCGCCAAATTAAAGCGGGCGCCAAATTAACCCAATCTACAGTAATGAATTGATTTTCAATTTTTTTAAGTATTTAAGATAATACATGACTAACAAAAAAAGTTACAATCAATGGAAAATGTTCCAATTTTTTTCTCAATGCAATGGTTTCCTCCCCCACCTGAACAATCAGTCTGAGCTCTATTTGAGAGTCATTTATGGCTTAAATGACAGGTTTTGAGACATATTGTGCCAGTTTTGAAAAAGAGCTGAGGTCAGTTTAGCTATATCATTCAATAAATACATGTCTTGCTTCTCCTAAAGACAATTACATATGATTTAATTGATGGAAATTGTGTTGAGACCATTTGAAGGGTACATATTGCATGGTATGAAAGACACTGCATTTTCAGCAGTGATGTCTCAAGCAGAGAAAATTTGGAAATTTTTCATGACACATGCAGAATACAGATTATGACCATGACAAGCCAAAAACATTCATACATACATATTTGTATCTTTAACATTTTCACAAATAATCATTTTACCATCATCTGAATTTTTGTGGACTGAACTGCAAAAATAAAGACACTTGAATTAATAGAATTTTCAAGTATCACACATTTGATACTTAAGTCTTGAATGCACTTTTAATAATAAAGATGATATCTCAGTATAGTAACTGGCTTGGACATGTGGTGTCATGAGAAATAGCAAAGATATTTTAGAATATCTCAAAGGTTCTATAAAACTTGTTTTAAATTAAGGCTTGTGTGTGAAGGACCTCGGCACACCTAGACCCAAGCAAGCCCAGAAGTCGCAGCATTAAAAGTAAAGAGTTTCTGGACCACACTGTATAAGAATTACACAATTCACACCTGTATCAAGCATGCATTGACAAATCATGTATTCTATGTTTTAACTTACTACATATCATGTGATATGTTATACATACCTCAGATTGTTTGTGTTACAGTATCATGTAACTGCAGCAGGTCATATCATATCATATTGTAGAAAAGAGTCATAGGGCTCAATGTCAGCATGTAATGGACTCCAGGATGTTGACTCCTGCAACCATAACTAGACTTTAGAATCAAAATATGATTTTGTATCAGAATAGGCACCTAAGTTACATATCATGGTAACAATGTGAAAAGACCAATGGCATATATGTACATGTGATCTGTTTGTTTAACTCTACCAATAGAATGAAAGGCATCATCATGAATAAAAGTAGTACAATGCATTACCTTTGACTCGGCCCAGCATCTTGAGTCTCTTTCTTCCGCTTGTAGCTATGATGATCTCTCTTCTGCACAATAAGGCTTTTCTTCTTCCTCCTCTTCTTCTTAGGTTTCTCCACATCCATCCTTGTACAATTAGCTGGGTTTTCATCATCAATGGAGGGTTGTATTTCGGGCAAATTGGTCTCTTTGGCAGCAACTTCATTCTCTGGGGTGTCTATGAACTCCCTACAATATAAGTAGAAATATGTACAGTACATGTATGTAATACAATATGAAGCATGAATAATAGATCTACATCAAAATATGATTTTGTATAAGAATAGGAACCTAAGTTACATATCATGGTAACAATGTGAAAAGACCAATGGCATATATGTACATGTGATCTGTTTGTTTAACTCTACCAATAGAATGAAAGGCATCATCATGAATAAAAGTAGTACAATGCATTACCTTTGACCCGGCCCAGCATCTTGAGTCTCTTTCTTCCGCTTGTAGCTATGATGATCTCTCTTCTGCACAATAAGGCTTTTCCTCTTCTTCCTCTTCTTGGGTTTCTTCACATCCATAGTACTAACAAACTCTGGAAAATACAAATCAAAATATTAATGTTGGTTTGAAAAAACAAAATGGTATGTAAACCATTTGACCATGATTTCAGTTGACTATGAAATTGAAAAGAGGAAACCTATCATTCAAATGAATAGTTCTTTGTGATCTACATAGTTTGCTCTTTCCAGTGATGTATGACTATAAACCATATCAAGGGGATGTCTGGATCAATTTATTTAGATCCTTAGTATAGAAAAATCTTCGGAGATTATCGCGACGCGAGGGGAAAGTTGGGCCAATACCATGATTTCAGCTGACTATGACAATTAAAAGAGGAGGAAACCTATCATTCAAATGAATAGTTCTTTGTGATCTACATAGTTTGCTCTTTTCAGTGATATGTGAACCATATCAAGGGGATGTCTGGATCAATTTATATAGATGATGAAACTTTAGAAAAATCTTCGGAGATTATCGCGACACGGGGAAAAGTTGGGCCAATACCATGATTTCAGCTGACTATGACACTTAAAAGAGGAAAACTATCATTCAAATGAATATATCTTCGAGATCTACAAAATAGGCCCTTTTCAGTGTTATATGAACCATATCAAGGGGATGTCTGGATCAATTTATATAGATGATGAAACTTTAGAAAAATCTTCGGAGATTATCCCGACACGAGGGAAAAGTTGGGCCAATACCATGATTTCAGCTGACTATGACACTTAAAAGAGGAAAACTATCATTCAAATGAATATATCTTCGAGATCTACAAAGTAGGCCCTTTTCAGTGATATATGAACCATATCAAGGGGATGTCTGGATCAATTTATATAGATGATGAAAGTTTAGAAAATCTACGGAGATGTACCGTGACGGGAGGGGAAAGTTGGGCCAACACCATGATTTCAGCTGACAATGACAATTAAAAGAGGAAACTTATCATTTAAATGAATAGATCTTCGAGATCTACAAAGTAGTCCCTTTTCAGTGATATATGAACCATATCAAGGGGGTGTCTGGATCAATTTATACAGATGATGAAACTTTAGAAAAATCTTCAGAGATTATCACGACGTGAGGGGAAAGTTGGGCCAACACCATGATTTCAGCTGACAATGACAATTAAAAGAGGAAACCTATCATTCAAATGAATACATCTTCGAGATCTACAAAGTAGTCCCTTTTCAGTGATATATAAACCATATCAAGGGGATGTCTGGATCAATTTATATAGATGATGAAACTTTAGAAATATCTTCGGAGATTATTGTGACACGAGGTGAAAGTTGGGCCAATACCATGATTTCAGCTGACTATGACACTTAAAAGAGGAAAACTATCATTCAAATGAATAGTTCTTTGTGATCTACATAGTTTGCTCTTTTCAGTGATATGTGAACCATATCAAGGGGATGTCCGGATCAATTTATATAGATGGTGAAACTTTAGAAAAATCTTCGGAGATTATCGCGACATGAGGGGAAAGTTGGGCCAACACCATGATTTCAACTGACAATGACAATTAAAAGAGGAAACCTATCATTCAAATGAATAGATCTTCGAGATCTACAAAGTAGGCTCTTTTCAGTGATATGTGAACCATATCAAGGGGATGTCTGGATCAATTTATATAGATGATGAAACTTTAGAAAAATCTTCGGAGATTATCGCGACACGGGGGAAAGTTGGGGCAATACCATGATTTCAGCTGACTATGACACTTAAAAGAGGAAAATTATCATTCAAATGAATAGTTCTTTGTGATCTACATAGTTTGCTCTTTTCAGTGATATGTGAACCATATCAAGGGGATGTCCGGATCAATTTATATAGATGGTGAAACTTTAGAGAAATTTGTTTTTGGGTCAGAAATATCTGAAGAAAAATGAATGAAAAAAGTTAACAAAAAAGTAAGAAGTAAAGCACCAGTCATTTATACATATTCATACATGAAATAATCAATACTGATTTATGTACAAGGAACCTTACTTTTAACACTAAACGGCAAAATCCACGTTTAATTTTAATAAAAATGTCGATTCCTTGGACTTCGCAATTTTTTGGCTTTCCTCATTTTTCAATCACTTTTTCTTGTTGTAAGAGAACGGTGTTTCCGTAAGTATTTCCCTCTGAATTTTAACAAATATGCATTCATGATAACCATTTTATTGATTAAATACATACCTTAATGGGTATGTACATAGATCCCGGCCAGATTCTTTTGTAGTAGGATCAGTAGCTCAATAAATATTCTTTGAGCGTATGAGATCCTACTACAAAACGATCTGGCCAATATCTGTGGGTATTTACGTCATAATTGTGGAGAATTTGTGAAGAATGTAATTTATTTTCTCAACAATCCACGATGTCCGAAATCTCGAGGGGAAATCTCGCAATATCTCGTATGGCGCGCCAAGTTTGAAAATTTTATATGGAGGTCAATGGGAGGCTTCCAATCCCTCTAGATATATTAGTCTCAGGACTGAGTAAAACTTCTCGAAAATTGCTGTTTCGGGATGACATCATCCATCACAGGAATATCAACAATACAAATATATTTAGTAGGAATAATTTATCATTATAGAGTGCTAAATTAATATTAGAAAGTGCACTTAAAGCGAGACATATAATTATATAAATCTTGAGCAGAAGTGTGTAACAAGTAAGTTACAGCGAACTTGATGAAACCACTTATGAATTCTGTTTCGTAATGAGGGCATATGTTGCATGATAGGGAAACAAATGATGTATAAAGTACATTCTACTGATTGTGCAACAACCAGCGGACGTGGGCCAGTCAAAGTACTGTATTTAAGTTGCAATTGTTTCTTTGACTTTCATAATTCTTTGACTCATTTTGGTGGACACTTTTAAAAAAAATATGCAAAATTAAAAAAGCAGGTCAAATTACAAAATGTACATCATAAGAACATGGTAAATTAATGAAACCAATAAAACGTATTCGTATTACTGAGTATGACATGTATGATCATATATTTTAACATTGAAAAGTACAACATTCTGTCTAAATTCACAATATCCACAATGTGGAAAATTATAGAATGCCCGGCAAAAATTGTGAGATCTGGGAAGCTAAAACTTATGCTGATACTTCGCATATACCCTGCGTGCAGAGTCTAGTTAAACTACAGACGAAGCTCTCTTTTAAGAAGTGAAGTCAAACGAATGCAAAGGGTATACTTCGCATAATCTTCTTACCTGAAGTGAAAACGTATCGACCTTTTGTAAATCGGGGAAGAGGGGGGGGGGCGCTTTTCAAAACAGTCAAAAAATAAGGGTGGGGGCACCTTTGAGAACTTTGGCCAAAAATCACTGCATGCGTTTGTAACCAAGGGGAGCTGTAAGGGGATCGACCCCGGGCCTGCTATAAATGATACATAGTTTGAATGAATAAAATCCAGGGTTGAAATATTACCATTGAGGAACAGCAAAGAAATTGCACATTTTAGGATCAAAGAAGTAACAGTACGTTATAATTAAATCTGTAATTGTATTATTCTACTTCGCGATTTGGTAAATATGTACCTGGGGATTAGGGTCGTCTTGCTCTCTGACATAGAGGCATGTAATCCATTAAACGCTTTAAATGTATTACTGTTTTTACATCACTGGGAACTCGAGCACTTCGATATGTACACTCGTCCCTAAAAGGATGGAATAAAACGTATTTGCCCTTGAAACCCTTATTTTTCCCTTAACTAGGCAATCGAAGTCAAATTACAAAAATACAGTGCGTAATAGTAGAGAGATTTTGCATCTCACTTACAGCATATCTATTATTCCCATATAACGTATACGTAAGAATATCACACTTTGTGTATAGAGCTGCGCAATAAATGATGACGTTATCAAATGCTTCATAAGTTGTACGTTGTGGGAGTAATAAACGTGCTATAAGTGAGTTACGAAATCTCTCTAATATAAGTTATTTTATACTATGAGCAATTTAGTAGGCTTTAAACAGTAATAACCTTGCGCTAATGAAGATAGTAAACATTATTAGAAATACCTCGACAGGTCCTTATAAATCACTACTATACATCAATATTATCTACTAATGGCGTATAGTTTTTATCCATAAATGACTGCAACAGAAGCCGTTTAATGATAAGTTAATAGAGTATATGCTTTACTTCATTGCATGATAAATGATTGGAGAATCGAATGAACAAAAGCCTCGAGTACTCTGAGCTAATATTGAGTTTCAGCAACGGATATCTTGATTAATAAATTGAATGGGTGTGCTCTCTGGAGATTATGATTTCCATTTATCAAAGACCATAACATACACATCTGGCGAAAGATGCGTATTTGTGTTTTTAAGATTTGGAGTGTAACAAGTCTGATAAGCGTCGATGCACAGCATAATAGGGAGATTAAGTTATACGTCTTTAAGAGAATCTGTACGTGGGCGTGTAGCATTTTGACCCCCGGGATTACCGTCTTCTAGGGACTTAATTACAATTATTTTCCATTCACTTTAATACTCGATCGGCCAAGTAAACACTACAAATGGAGGAACTAATCCATAGAGGACCATAATTCTACACGTTCAACGTACACGTTTAAAAACGTGTATCTTATATGAGATGCAAACACCTGCTATTCCAAATATTATTGGCCAGCCCCGGTGGCATTTGGATAGTTGGGATTTATTTTACAACGTAAACCTAAAACAAGAGCGCTAAACATTATTGAATTAAAGTGTAGATTTACAGTATTAGTTGTTAGAGTTATGACTCTATAAATCCGAATACATTAATACTATTTCTATGACATTGAATACTGTTTTGAGATAAAAACCTGATTTCATTGATCGGAATATTTACTGATGGCCCTGAAACTGATTGAGCAATAAATTATCCTCAAGAATTGACAAGATCATATCACTGAAGAAAACCATATTTTTATGTGTCTTGAATTCAAAGGATCTTGGTCAGATCAAGGAAATTCGAAAATGAGCCAATTTTCTCATATTCGATACATCACTCTCCATAAGTATGGCAACCACAAGTACCCATTATTGGATATATCTTGTATATGTTCGGACTTACAATATCCCAAAGATTAATGATTATAAATGTTGCGTAATCATGCTTTTGCGTGTTATAATGTTTGCGCAACATTATAATCTATCGTTTCTTTTTGATACGAGTACCTAAGCAAATTAAATGTGATGTTAAAATTGTCATATCTAAAGAGGCTTTTACATATATCCCGAAAGGAGATACCCAGTTGCCAAATTTTCGGAGGGTAGTGTATATGTAAGTAGAAAATATGTATGTCGGAATCAAAATGATTTACAATTATTTTGTTTTATTTTCAGATCAACATTTATTACGACACTTTTGCATGACTATGCCGAAGATGTTCCTCCAAACTTTGACCAAGGTACGTATAATATACACTCCCTTCCATAAGTTTGGCAACCAATGACTATGCCGAAGATGTTCCTCCAAACTTTGACCAAGGTACGTATAATATACACTCCCTTCCATAAGTTTGGCAACCAATGACTATGCCGAAGATGTTCCTCCAAACTTTGACCAAGGTACGTATAATATACACTCCCTTCCATAAGTTTGGCAACCAAGTATGTTTATTCTGCGATTAAAAATCAACTTTGTCATACATTTTCGAACTATTTCAATTAAAGAACAAAATTAAGATTCCATCATTTGCCAAACTTATAGAGGGAAGTGTATTTACATTAAGAACCTTTAGATAGAGCTACTCTAAGTGTACAAAGCCATGGGAATGGACTGAATTGGTGCACGAGTTTGGCTCTGGAATTTAAATTCATTTTGATTGCCCACATCTTCTTTGAAAGGTTTCTAAAAATAAAAGGTTGCTAAATTGTATTCGAACTCACCTACCTTTGAGTGGGTTATCGCAATATCCGTATTCTGAGTGCACCACTATAAGTACGACATTGTTCTAATATTATAAACAATTGTATTTAACATTTTTTCACTACTTTGGCGTGGTTTACAGTAACATACAGGGTGATTCAGGAGTAAGATCAAATATATTGCCATTGTTCTCTAAACATCGACGAGTTACTACCAGTCGAGATTACTTATTCAATTATTTGATTGAACCGAATCGTTGTTACTGTGGTAACCTAATATAGCATCACTAACGTGTTTATATTTGTGTTAGTGTAATGAAATATTTCGAGGTTACTTTATATGGATCATCCTGTAGGTTGCCCCTGAAGCACAAAGCACTCGACGCACTTGAACAGTTCATGTTCCGGTGTATGGTCCAAGTGTATGGGCTTAAGGTATCACCCACGCACATGTAGTGGCATCCTGATCAGTCAAGGTATTTCTAGTATGGCCAAAAGGAATATATTTGTTGAACGGGGTATGCGTAATGGTACACTTAAAAATCCTTTTGGAGAACCAAGAGAACTAGGTTATATTGGCGAGACTATGATAAGTACATGTAATTAGGTACAACTTGCAAACCAATAGACCAATCTTGCATATCATGTCACACAATGGGGTACCCTCCCATCAAAAAATTTGGTAATGAGAAGTCCCATTCCAATCCGATTTATTGTATTTTTGGAACAGAATTAAGCTCAAACATAAACGGGCTCCAAGCCTTATTAACGCTATGGAAACTTTTTGTTACCAGAGCCTTAAACACCCTCTGAAAACGTTTGCTAAATTTATGAGGGGATGTGTGCGTTTATAAATCCCTCGATCCTTAATATAGATACACTTAACTGTTCTTTGCTCACTATATCCCAAATATAACGTTTTTGACTAGAAGCTTCAGAAATTTTACACATAACAAGCTGATGCAAAAATGTGTTTCATATATTTTTCAATTAACACCACAGAATGAGTTCTATTGGGGTTTCTTGGTTTCGTTTACAACCTGTACGTTTAATTTACTATTAGGCGCCTGTGTTTCATCTCAAACTGTTTAACAACACACCTTTTGGAAAATAACTGGGCATCGATGCGTTTTTCCTTTGCTCTAAAATGCCAATAAGATACGACAATATAAAAAAATCTTAAAAAGAACAGGTATTCGACCAAAAACCGAGATGATTTAATTTGCAGGTAGTACTTAACAAATATATAATTTAGAGCGTTACAAAAAGTGTTGTTTATTCATAGGAATATACATTGTAATAAAGTGTTAAATGCGACAGCTTTTATGCAAAACACAATATTTATTGGGATATTTACATAAATACTAAATAATCTCTCCGTAAATATCTTCGTAAAGGAAGTGTATACTTCTAAAAACGCAATTGTAAACTTAGACAATAGACGAAGAGCTGTTACTTTTTCGTGTATGTTACAGAATGCTAAAACAACCCAAATATGAATAGTTTGTACAATTGCGACATTTGAAAGCTGAGATTATCTGCTATACCATGACCTCGGTGGTTGTCAATTTAATGATAGCTGTACCTTTTTCATGTTTTTGAAAAAAACAAAATATTATTGGCACAAGATTTGAAAGTTCAGATTCTCTGATCTATCATGACGTCGATGATTGTCTTTCATTACCTTCTTCTAAGGCCATCAAGAATTGGCTAGAGACTTGAGTAAGTATTTCCAATGATGGTTTTACGGATTCAACAATGGGCGTTTGACATTCGACACACGTGACACAGGAAGTTGATGTTTCGTGTTAATTAATAAAATGACAATCTCAGTCTGAAATAGATGCTCATGTCCAACGAAGCCTTTTCTGCAATATTTTATATCACGTAGTATGACATTGTTTAACACATTAACTTCCATTTTACACGAGTCAGCCTCCTTGAAGCTTCCGAAGAGTAAGTTTTGTAAGCACTTAAAACCTTACTGGACTGAGACGCTGAAATCAATGATTAAACAAAAGAAAATCACATGGAAAAGATGGATACAAAATGGAAGACCACGCCAAGCTGGAAATGTCCATTGGGAATCTTATAAGCATGCAAAACGGTGTTTTAGGAAGGAATTTCGGAGATGCGAAAGGGAATACGAGATACGGTGCCAAAAGGAAATTGATGAAATGGAAGATATATCTATTAACCAATTTTGGCACTTAGTTAAGATGCGAAAGTCAAAGATAGCCAATAATCTAGCTGTTCGATCGGAAAATGGTGTTATTTTAACTAATGTTACTGATGTTGTTAATGAATGGAGACAATACTTTAAGAATTTAGTCTCCTCAAATGGAAGCGACCAATGTACTTATGATGATTTGTTTTATGCTGAGGTAAATGAAATGGTGTTAAAAATGGATGCTGATAGCCGCACCAATGATGATGGGTCTTTTAATGATCCAATCACTGTGGATGAAATGGAACTGATATTGCGTAAACTACCAAACAACAAAGCGCCAGGTTGGGACATGATTTGTTCAGAGCACTTAGATAAAGGTGGCAGGTCGGTTTTAAGCGTACTGTTAAGGCTATTTAACATAGTGATTGATGCAGAGTTAATTCCCGCGAGTTTTAAACTTGGCGTACTGTTACCAATCTTTAAAGGTGGTAATAAAGATCAGCTTAACAAAGACCATCATCGTGGAATCACCTTAATGACAACATATATGAAGATGTTAGATCGTTTAATGCTGATGAGAAGTGAAAACTGCCCTCTGCTTGAGAAAAGGTCAACAATGCAAGGAGTAGGACTTGAGAAATGCTCAAGCCTCCATACGTCATTGCTTACACGAGAGACTATTGCTCACGGACTCGAACAGGGTAATGACGTCATAGTGACGTCATTAGACATCAGGAAGGCATTCGACAGCGTTTGGCACAATGGCCTCATGTATAAGCTATACCAACAAGGCATCAACGGAAAACTGTGGCGACTTATCAAAATGGCATATGATGGATACGAATGTGCTGTTAAAGTGTCTCATGAAAAATTCAGATCCGTTCACTGTAGGAAAGGGGGTCCACCAGGGAGGAATCTCATCTATGAATTACTACGCAAGATATACGAACGATTTACTTAATCAGATTGAGAATAGTAAGATAGGATGTACCGTCAGTTGTGTCCAAACAACTTGCCCCACATACGCTGATGATACTATACTTATAGCATATCATGCAACTTCAATGCAACGTATCCTGGATATTATATATGATTAAAGTGTTAAGTGGCGTTTCCAATTCCACCCTGACAAATGTAAGTCGTTAATATTCAGTAACCATAGAAACGCGCCCAAACCATTTATCACACTTGGAGGAAAACAGATTGAGGTTCTAGACTCGCTTCAACACGTTGGTTTACCGTTATGTCACAAGCCGAGCCCAGAATTCATTGATGGTGCGATTTCAAAAGGCAGACGGACAATGGCAGCATATATTGGAGTAACATCATCGTGTAACAACCCTACCAATCCACTCACTGCTTCTAGACTATATTGGTCCATATGTGTTCCGTCAATGACCTATGGGTTTGAACTTTTATCGTTGAGTGAGTCTGACTTAACAATCTTGAAGCAGGGCACAGATCTATCTCGAAGCGACTGCAAGGATTGCCTGATAATACACCGACACCAGCCTGCACATCCTCCATTGGATGGCAGTCCTTACCTGCTAAAGTGATAATTAGCAAGTTGATGCTCCTGTGGCAACTATTAACATTACCTATGTCTAATGTCTACAAGAAAATAACTGTAATAAGACTTATATTTGCACAATACTTTACTCTCCATAGCCTTTCACCGTTAGGCGATTGTCTAAAAGTAGCAAAAGCTTATAGATTAGATGAGGCAATATATGGAATCCTAAATGGGGAAAGTGTGAGTAAATCCAGCTGGAAACGACAAGTAAAATTTGCGATAGAAGAATATGAAACCAACAAATGGAGACTGAACTGCTTAGCTTATGAAAACCTCACATTATTTAAAACAGTGCATCATTTCATTAAACCACTTATTTGGTGGCAATTGGCAAAAAAGGATCCAGGGACTCTCCGGAACTGCAGATTAATGGTAATTTTGTTAACTGGAGGTGGCGCTCTTATGACAAATGTTAAAAGGTGGTCGGGTGGTCTGGAATCAGATCTATGCATGGTATGCAAATTGGCTCCAGAAACGTTACAGCATTTAATTCTTGATTGTTCAGGACATGTTAATGAACGCATAGAAATATTAAATATCTGTAAAAAGTTATTTTCGAATCAACCCCTCCCCCCTAGTAGTGTATTGTTGCCAATTATATTTGGCGCGGATTCGATACTTTGTGATGTAGAATATGATATTATATGTAAATCTGTATATAAAATGTATCTAAATAGGCCTAAAAACAGGTATTTTACATAGTAACTATAAGGCTTAAGCGGTAATCACCAATTGGTGATATTATAATTGAATGTGTTTTCCCCTTCTTAACCTGTATAGCTTAGTTTTATTTTCTATGATTTTATTATAAATTATATGTATACACATCATTATTGGTGGATAAAATAAACATAAATAAAATGACAACTGACAATCTCAGTCTGGTGGTTAAACTAAATATTTGTCTTCTACATAATCTCCAGGCCCGTAGCCGGGGGGGGGGGGGGGGGGGTTCGATGGGTTCGAGCACCCCCCCCCCCTGGCCAAAATTTCTTTCAAAATCATGCAGTTGTTCACCATTCTGAGCACGTTTTAAGTGATTTTGGCCATTTTTGGACCAAAATTGTCAAAAGTGAATCCCCCTGGAATTTTCCAAAAAGTGACCCCCTCGGCAAATCCTGGCTACGGGCCTGATCTCATTACGGAAAGCGATTAGGTACCCCCACATATATCAATACGATCTTAATACATGTAGATTTACAGTTACCGCGATCTGATAAATTGCAAACGTCAAGCTATTAAGAAGAAAAAGTATATGCACAGGGATACACTGAAGTAGTTTCTGTTGTCCAATCAAGCCTTTGTTTGCTCGAACATGATTCTTGCTTTTAATAAATTGCAATTGTACTCGAGGAAGCAGTTTCCAATTAAAGTACACTCCCCTCCATAAGTTTGACAATTTGACAGGGGGAGATCTCGCAAAGTTCAGCCTTCGTATTCGATCACGTGGTACCCATGTGCTAGATCCATATACGGCATACATGACCATATAGGAATCCAACTGACCGTTGTCCGCCCTTTTGATAATCATGTGATAGATCCATATAAGGCTTGTATGACCATATAGGATGGCTAGGGGAAATCCCGAATACGAAAGAATATGATAGTATTATGAGAGCTACTCACTTCTTCTGACAATTTGAAGTTTACATTGGATAGCATTTCAAAGCCTGACAATGTTTGAATTTTTTTCGGTAATTACAACAAAATTTTTCGCAAAAATATATTTTTCCGAATCGTCAAATACAAACAGTCTTTGATAAGTGATCAAAAGTGGATCACCCGGTTGCCAAACTTTTGGAGGGGAGTGTAAGAACATTGAAGAGCTGTTTTTTATCTTTTTGATTAATATCCGTTTCATGTCCAATTCTGCTAATACTTATGCTTTGATTTTTTGTATAGCTATTAATAATAGAGTGATTTAGATGCTGGACATATAAATAACAGGTGATGAATGAGTGGACGAAATGCGAATATAGAACTAATGATAGAGGACTTCAAGGAGAAAGAAAGCTATGGACAGTTTATGTACATAGAGAAAATTATAACGTGAAAAAATTCGAATAACGTGTGAACATTCTGATAACGTCAACAATCATTTTGATATTCATCATTTGTCCCCGTTTTCCGAGGCAAGATTCACTGATTCAATCAGACAAAATAAAGAAGATTTGAATGAATAAATAAAATAAATAAAAAATATACACATGATCACTAGATCTCCAAGATCGATCGATATGTTTCATCATTCCTCGAATGTCCAAGTCTTGTCTTAAACAAACGTACGTGTTTCCAGAATGAACTTGGTGGAAGGCCGTTATTTCAACTTTTCACGATGTGCGCAAGTTAAGAGAATTCTCTTCGGTTCATAGGGAAATTAGTTTGTTTACAAAAACACACTTTTTATAACTTCACGCAAGCTGACAGCATTTCGAGTTTGATGTTGCTAAAATTGCGCTGTTATTGGCCACTTTAATCGGGCGTCTGATCAGGAATCGAAGCTCATTAAATCATTATTTCCCCTGACTGGGAAGGGAAAGAGATGTCTTTTATTACCATGTCGATGTCAATACGGAAAGCAACGATATGCTAAGTGCCAACAATGATTTGGTACATGATTACCAAGTGACTATTACTTCGACCAGATAATATTTTCAATTTCTATCATAATTTACAGTAAACACTTCATTCCATTTCTTAATTTGTACTAATAAGTTTCATTGAACCCATACGATTTAGTTTCACCATAGCATCTTTCATGTACTTAGGCATCGGCGATCGTATGCTTCATTACCAGGAAAATTGATATTGTTCCATTAGAGAAAATACGGTTATTGAGTCGTATCCGTATAACTAAATATAATCTGAGTTTATTTGATATCTGTTGATCTTTGCATGATTCTTCTGATATTGAACAGAGGATGTCTATATACATAGTGGTATCACTGGGAATCGTGCTTGCCAGATGTGAAAGTGTTTTAAGGTGATATAGTTATGGATTAAGCGTACTTTTAATAATATTAATAGTAAATGTTCATAACAAACAAATCCAATGAAACAAATAATGTTGTGTTTATAAATAGATTAATAATGAAAGAATATTATCTACAAATGATCTCCATGCCAAAAACGCATTAAAACACAATAAAAATTAATAATGGCACACGCTTCAATAATATATGAATATACAATAGATAAGTGCACTCGTATATGATGTTTATAAGGTACCGTACCTGTTGACAGCATATCTGATGTTTTAATAAAAAAGTTATTTACACAGACGTTTCATTGCATTATTTTCAGGTGAGGCAATCGAGGTTCGGTGTGCCATGCATATCAACACTTTTGACTCCATCAATGAATCCAGTATGGTAAGTGTGATATTACACCCCCCATGAAAAGTTTGGCAACACTAACTCCCATATTCTACCAAAAAACATTCTCCGATCACAGGGCTTGAAAATCCAGAATATATTCTTTTCTTTAGAAGGAGGTGCGGATTCTGGATACCTGCTAAGGAGGATGACCAAAACATAGTTTAAACTATGCCCGATTAAAAGATCATTAACGTAATCGAGCTGATGTAATTGATGAAATATTCAAGCTTTGATCGAATGGAGACTTGTAGTGCGCGGGAGGGGGGGGGGGTGTACGCTCAAGAATAGTAATAAGGTTAGATATGTTCAGAAAACAATGGTACAGTAGCTTGCAACGGAAATGCATCCACGATGCTTGTGGGGCCCGTGTGGATTGCATTATACGAGCACTGATAAACGCGAGGAGGATTGGCAGTCATGATTCTAACCGACGATCCCCCGCTGCCTGACATGGAGCAATTTAAAAATGATATTTCAAAGCTTCATCTTTTCGGAACAAGTATCTAGTCGGACGATAAACATTACCTAGTGTTTGCGAGCATTTATGGTCATATTCAAGCTTCCGTGGCATTATGGGTAATATTGTTACCAGCTGCCAATCCCTTTGGATAAATTTGGATTAAATTTAATTCATTAAATGCATCTATTTCACGAGAGAATCCATAAGAAATATCCGACAAGAATATAATAATCAACTGATGCGTTAATTGATTATTTTATTTTTATCAAATACTTTCTAAATTACCCTCACAATAAAAGTATAAAACATTTAGTTACACTGCACTGATGTATTTTTGGAGGCAAGAACTTAATATCAGTTACAGTAAATCACTGAAGTTGAATTGATTTCCATTATTTGGCATAACGCATCTAATAGAGGGAGTTGAATTGCGCAAACGTAGACTATACACGAATAAAAAACGTTTGAATTATGAGACATCTTCAAATTGTAGAATTGGTGTGGTCGTGCTGCTCTGATGAGTTCAATCTCAGACAAATGATAAATGTTCTCTGGTGAACTTTTAACAAGGAAATAAATTGCTTCACTCAGGAAATGAAAGTCCCGGAGTATCCCCAAGTTGTACATCAGCTCCAGTAATTGTGAATAAAGGCAGATGGACCGTATGCGGTTGTTTGCTTGTTAGCCTTGTGGTTGTATGCTTGTTTCCTTGGAGATGTTGTTACCTTGGTGATAAACTAAACAGTTTCACTCTTTATATAAGAATGGGTTTCTTTCTTTGTTTTCTAGTATATTATACCCAATCAGAATTAAGTACTCTAAATATAAGTACCCTGTAGCTGGTAGTTATTTTACATTTCCATAAAAGGCAATCGATTGGAACCTATTTTTCAATTCGCGACATTTCAGATCTTATTAGTCTGTAGGTTGTCAGAGGGTAGTGTAGCCAAACAATGGTTGCAAGGGTCATTTTTACTCGTCATAGGCACACCAAGGAGGATTGGCTCCCAGGATCGAAACTGATATTTTCGAACAATGAAAACGTCGAAATGTCGTTATTTTCTGAAATTATAACCGAATATGAGTTCAAAATAAACAGTCGAAAAATAAGACCAAAAATGACGACTCAAATGTTGAAGTGAACTAAATGGCGACTGTTTGAATTGGAATTTTGTATCACGACATGGCCATATATATGGGACAATCGATTCGATTTTGCACTCTGGGAGCCAATCCTCCTTGGTACGTACCTAAGACTCGCAACAAAATGGAGACACTTCTTCTTGCACCATGTTTTCCCCAAATACAAACCAATTCCAGTTTAGCCCGATTTAATTTTTTGCCACTATGCTGGAATCTATAAACAATTTTGAGAAATACTTATGTAACCGTTATACATCAGCTATTATGAATAAAATAATATTAAACTGGTCAACTACATGGGCAAATATGATTAAGAGATAGTTGTAAATTGGTTCTCTAGCACGGTAGCAAGATGTTCCCTAAAATATTCAAGATAGATGTCTGAATATTCCCTGATGTTGTTCTGCCATCATTAAAATGCGATGCTTATGTCTCTTACGATATAGTGGGGAGCAACCGGTGTAAGATTAATTGTTTTTGTGATCCTTCTAAATTGATAAATTGACAAGTCTTTAACGCCAGGGGTCACCTCGATCCCGTTTGTCTTAATTAATAAAATATTGTCTCAAATGTCTGTCTTACGCCTGGGTCACATTTTGCTCCAATTCATCGGCAGGCGCCGGCCGATTGAGTATTTTGTTCAAAAATTGTATTCAGTTTGAATATATTACTCAATCGGCCGTGAAAATTGGAGCAAATGTGACCAAAACATTACCAAGAACCATCTACCGGCTCATGAACTATACACGATAGATTTCGCTTCTCTAAAAGTAACCCCCATCTCTGTTCTTTGATATCTCACGAAAAACGAGAATTAGCGAGATTTCGAAACTATATAGAAATTCCGCTTTTAGAATATTATAGGTCAAGGTAGATCAAAATCAAGCAATTCACTTGAAACTGACGCTTATTTTATATTCATTCTCTCATTCAAATCAATCACAGTTGATTTTGGTCTCGTTAGAATGTTATTAGCATATTCTCAACCTAATTTATTCCATTTTTACTTAGATATGTAGAGGATATCATGTAAAAGAACTGTTGAAACCTTTAAGACATCTCTTCAAGCAGAGCAAACCACAAGTGTTCATTTTTTATTTCAGGACTATGAACTGAATATCTTTATGCGAGAATACTGGACTGACCACCGGCTTGCCTACAACACGTCTATACCAGATGAATCCATTACGCTCGACCCAAGGATGATTGACCGAATATGGGTACCAGACACGTTTTTCCACAACGAGAAGAAGGGCTCTTTCCATGACATAACTGTGCCTAATCGGTTGTTAAGAATTCGACAGGATGGCTCTATCGAGTACTCCATCAGGTAATGAGTGCTGAACTCCCCTAACCCTTATCGGTTGTTAAGAATACGACAGGATGGCTCTATCGAGAACTCCATCAGGTAATGAGTGCTTATCTCCCCTTGGCCCTAATCGGCTGTTAAGAATACGACAGGATGGCTCTATCGAGTACTCCATCAGGTAATGAGTGCTGAATTCCCCTAACCCTTATCGGTTGTTAAGAATACGACAGGATGGCTCTATCGAGAACTCCATCAGGTAATGAGTGCTTATCTCCCCTTGGCCCTAATCGGCTGTTAAGAATACGACAGGATGGCTCTATCGAGTACTCCATCAGGTAATGAGTGCTGAATTCCCCTAACCCTAATCGGTTGTTAAGAATACGACAGGATGGCTCTATCGAGAACTCCATCAGGTAATGAGTGCTTATCTCCCCTTGGCCCTAATCGGCTGTTAAGAATACGACAGGATGGCTCTATCGAGTACTCCATCAGCTAGAGTGCTGAATTTTTGGTATTCAAGGGTTTTGCTTTTTAAAAGATGATTTCCGACACTTTGATTTTCCATGGAAAGACGTTTACTGATAATTATATAGTCTTATCTCAGTTTTTCCAACAGCGATTCATCATTTATTAAACCATCAACTATAAGTGGTTTTACTTTCAATTGGAGTATATTTCAAACTTAAGGTATGATTTACACTCCCCTTAAAAGTTTGGTAACAATAAAGTACCTTTGTCAGCTATAAAGGAATAGTACAATAATCCGACAAATCCTCCCATTTCCATCTATTTTCCATTTATACATGTATAGCAAGTCCTCTATTACAATAGGTTCGTCCAAAGTATGGCGTTGATGAATCAGGTTTTATAACATGGTCTAATTAAGGGAAGTTCAGATTTTCATACATTTGGAGGAGAGTGTTGCAAGATATGCTAAGCTACTCTCAAGGTAACTGCTGACAAATAAAAATGGGTTCATTCGTTCACTAAATGTGAAGATGGATATTGAAAGCATATTCGTTCCATACCATTTTGAATCTGAAATAGCAGTATTTATGTCCAATTCTTAAATTATTATTCACACATAGGATGACATAGCTAGGCAAGGTGTGTCCGATTCCAGCCAATCCGAACAGAGTATTCACATAATGAACAGTGTGTGAAATGGCAATACCACATGCAAGGTTACTAGTTAAACAGTTGTCATGGTGATGAATGGATTTTTCACATTAGATTTGATGACTTTCCAACCTGACCCTTTCAAAAATTTCATTGAAAATATGTTCTTTTTGCAATTTCGTCCCTTTTAGATGATTTTATAGAAAAAATTGCAATGTGTGAAAAGAATTTAAACCCAAGATTCAATGCATTGTAGCTGCTTCATTCCACTTAGACTTTGTTTCCTGCGCGGTCATGCAAAGGTTTAGAAACAACACCTTCATGGTATGATTCAGCAAACAATGCATCGAGTCTTGGGCTTTAATCCTTTACTCAAGGGAGTCATATTGCTTGCATACCATGAAACATTAGGATTTGATCTCACTTAGTTCTCGAAGCTTATTTGATTACGTAATGCACAAGGTACTTTGGAAACAGATAATACCCTACCACATCCGGTACCAACATCCCATACCAGCCAAGGTTCAAACAATTTTCGTCTCATTCTCATGCTGTTCATACACTATAAATCTTTTGTGTGTAATTACTACGTCCCAGACAAGCCATCAATCGGGGTTTCGTCTTAAATGAATTCCATCAAAACATGCGATGATTACATGGTCACAATGCCCTAAATCAGCAATTTATCAGAATCCATGTCTTCCTGAATTAAGCCATACGCTTGCACTGAAATTTATAGACACTCCGAAGGGCAACTTTTCGTGCTAGGATTAAAGTTATTGACCAGAGTGCTTTAGTTAACAATCACCTTATTCATGTTTATCTTTTGATATATCCCATCTTGTAAGTTCAAACCTAAAGTATATTTACAACCTGGACACTAATTTGTAATAATTAAAGCTAATCCTCCAAAGGAATGCGAAGTCAGTGAAAGTTGTGCTTTGATGAAAGTGAACTACATTGCAGAATATTTTACGGCCTGTGGTACACTCCCTCCATAAGTTTGGCAACTGGAAGTCTTGATTGGATACTATCAAAGCCTCTCAATGATTGAATCTTATTTGCTTTTGCCAAAATTATGGGGGAGTGTATTTCCTTTAGCGATACATTTACATGTTCTATTGAGGATGTCCCCTGGACAAAGTTACAAATGATGACAATTACCAACCCTTAATCTTTAATGTAAATTACATACCAAAACTAAGTTTTTCTGTGAGTTTTAATTAAGAAAAGGTTAAATACTCCAAAATATGATTTGGGGTGAAACTTTTTCCATGGGATCGAATAAAAATGTGCCACGCCCACTTTTGTCATATATTGACACTTTAGAAGGCTCTTGCTTAGAAAACCAGGGTTTTTAAATTATTTGAGAAAAAAATTAATAATATTTTCAAAACCTCTAGGGAACATTCTTGATATCGAATAGATATTTACAGTTAGTTTTACATTGATATTCTAGGCTGTCCCTCACGCTGTCTTGTCCTATGGTGCTCAACAAATTCCCAATGGACTCACAGATATGTTACGCTCAAATCGAAAGTTGTAAGTATTGCTTTTTGAATAAATCTAATACTATGCTGAAAAATAACTTAATACAGACGTTTTGGGTCATAATAACTTGTTTTATGTTCTAAAGATGTCTCTTCATCTGACACGACACTATTTAGAGTTGGTTTAAAAACAAACAAATTTTTACTTTGCCTGTACACTTAAAAATAAGTCATTTTTGTGTTCCAAAGACGCCTACACCACTGATAAGATACTGCTGCGTTGGGCCGAGAGGGACGCTGTAGAAATAGTACCCAACCTAGAACTTCCACAATTCCAACTAACTCGTCTGTCTTACGGGGAGTGCTATAGGAACTACTCAACTGGTACTGACGTGGCAGTTTATTTTCTGTCATTTGTATTGGAAATTACAACGTTGCACCGGGGATCTTTTCTTGAAACATTCTAAACTAGGAAATTTAGAAGGTTCATTGCTTGAACATGGATACCGTAGCACCAAATTTAAAGAAGATTTCGACTTTAAAAATTGCTTGTAAACGACAACCCCGTTGTGATATTTTAGATGCATGTCAGGTACATGCCAATCTCAGATCAAATTCAGCATCCTTTTAGCTACCATCCTCCTAAATTTGGCAACCGATCCCCCCCCCAGTTGGATTGCGTATTTACGTCTGAATGCTAACTTTGTTAAAAATTACCCGGGAAAAATTACAGCTTTGAAAATCGTCAAATATGAACAAGCTTTGTATTTTAACTCTTGCCTCTTGACTTTTGGTGGGGATGTAATTGTAATGGTTACATTTAATTTTCAGGTAGCTTTCCCTGTCTGCAGATCAAACTTCTTCCTGGTTAGAGATGTGGGCTTCTACTTGATCCAAGTGTATGTTCCAAGCATGCTCATCGTCATCCTCTCCTGGGTCTCGTTCTGGATCAACGTCGATGCAATTCCCGCGAGAATCTCGCTTGGCGTTCTCACGGTTCTCACCATGACAACGCACGGTTCCGGTCTTCGAAGCACACTCCCGAAAGTATCATATGTTAAGGCGATAGATGTCTGGATGTCCACTTGTTTGTTGTTTGTATTTGCTGCATTGTTGGAATTTGCGGTCGTCAATGTACTTTCAAGAAAAGAAATTAGACGACTTGTTACCCTAAAAAGACAAAAAATTCCGAATTCTAAATTGGGGTTTAGGAGTAAAGAGGTATGTTTCAAAACTTAATTGTACTGTTGAGTATGTGTGTGAATAATGCATTGCCGTTTTATTAAGTACATATCATGCCATTGAGACATTTATTTCGGGTTAATTGTTATTTCGGGTAAATTGGGACATTTTTCATGTGTTCTTGCATAACGCTCTCAATGCCAAATGCGTCCTTATAAATGTAGATCACTGTGCCAATCTTAAAAAGCTTGCCACGGATACAAAAATAAAAGAAGTATATAAACGCTTTATCTAAATATTTAATTTACATACCGCTTATTTCATAATTCTTTATTGTTGTCTTTTCAGTGCTATCGGGAATCAACAGGGAATGGACATTCAAGTGTTTTAGAGGAGCGAGTCTTGTGGGACGAGGAAGGCAGACAGAGAGGTCGCGATATAGATAAACTTTCAAGAAAAATATTTCCTACTTTATTCATAATATTCACTGGATTTTACTGGGTTATTTACCAGTTATCTCAAGAGGCTCACGACATTCCAAAATACGTCGAAGTAAACAACACAGTACTCAACAGGAATACGTAAAACGTCGCTGAAACGGAACATGCTCAATTTTTTCATAAAACGAAGTTATCTACTGTTCAAGACATTGATAAAAAGGAATGATTTCGAAAGATAGTTTCAGTCTGGTTTTCCCCAAACAGATAAAACAGGGTGAGAGAATCGTCCAAAAGAAATGAAATTATGATACAGGTCACACTTCACGCATCTCAGTTGTATGCCTCACATTTGTCCCGATTCATCAGCCGGCGCCCGGCCGATTGTGTACTTTGAATATCGAACAAAATGCTCAATCGGCCGGGTGCCGGCCGATGAATCGGGGCAAATGTGACTCATGCATTTGGGACATAACCTTGGACACAAACTATAGTCCATGGTATGACTTCCGAATATGAAGGATCCGTAGCACACTTTTGCGCAGCAACATTTGAAGCAATATTTATGAAGGTGTACATGTCTTGATTCTTTTAAAATACCATTTGCTGAAAAAACTTCCGGCTTTCGGGTCGAAAAACGTCTTTCATCACAAGGGGTCAAAAAACGTAAATATTTTGATTCGAACTTTTATACATTTTATAAGATATAGACCGTTATTCTAAGCATACGAACAAAAATAAATTATCATAATTTAAAAATATACTATTTAATTTTACCGTATATGTCGGTGTTTAATTAGTGTAATTATGCAAGTGTGTTTTTCAGATTTTGTTTGATTTTTCAAATATGAGCCAAGCCGATTCAACAAAATTATGTGGAATATTTAGGTAATTTATGATTGGGAACATATTAGTTTTCTTACCATTTAAAACATTTTATTTCCAGAATTTTTCCATATAATCGCAAGGGGTCTAATAGCAAATTATTGTGCATGTTTTAAAACACATAATAAAATAACAAATAGGTAAGATTTACCTCTAATTAAATGTTACAGAGGTATTGGAATGTTCATATATTCCAAGTGCATGTCTAATTATCAATTAGAGTCATATGCAATCGAACACATCGAAATTATTCCTCGACGTTACTTGTGGCTATCATTAAGTTTTCTGATGGCTGTTTGTTCTTTGACCTTACCGATGGATACAATCAAATTTTAGGAAGATAGTGATAACGATTTTTCTCAATTATTCATGAATTCGATAAAGTCTTGATGGTTGTTTTATAAGCAACTGAGCTATATCTAACCATGGGAAATAGAATTTTAGCTGTAGTCCCAATTAGTCAAGGAATAGCAATGGGACCGCCTTTATTGATAATTTTTATGGCTGAAGAAAAGTCAATATCTCAAAACGTATTGAGACCCCGTTTGTGAAAAACTAGCATAATTTAAACATTTGTCATTCCAATATAAAAGTGATTCATTTGTAGCATTTATCTCTTTAATACCTGAGAAACAATACAAAACTCTGATACACTGATTACATATTTTTGGGTATTGATAAGAAAAATAATCTCGAACTTATAGCTTAGAAACCTAAATCATATATTTAAAATCATTTTGTATTATTTTCTGTTGCATTGTGTACTCCAAATTGTAAAAAATTGGGATTTTATTTTTTTGGTGATTTTTTGACCTCTGTTAATGGCAGGCATAATTCAGCCTAAAAGCCGGAAGTATATTGAACAGTTATAATAAAAATTATTAGGGGACATATGTAGGTATGTTAATGTAAGGTCAAATATTGCTGCGCTATAGTGTGCTACCAACTCCTTTATTAGATGTCCTAGAGATTTCATACCATGGACTACTACTGGGAATGGCAAAGTTACTGGATATTGTATCTGAACGAGGGACAAAATGTAATATGCTCGATATGTGCATCGTTTTTTCTTCCATTTGCGCAATACTAATATCTTGTCTTTGACAAATCAATGGAGAACGTTTTCTTATCTTTGCATTTTTTTTTATTGTACCACAACACAAAAATAAAGCAGAAACTTTGGTATTACTCTCTTTTTTTAAATGACTCATACTCCCCCAAAATAAAAGTGTTACAAATTATGTAAAATTAAAGCATGCAAAGTTTCACAAGCCAACCCCTCTGGGAATCTTTTTTTTTACAATGCATCAACGTATGTGACTTAAAGTCTAGGATATGTTGGACATTGCAGTGATGATTAAAAACTCACCATATAAGTCCAGGAATACTCCCTTGTATAGAGTTTATTCAATTCAATTTATTTCAATGCAGTTTATTAAATAAACTTTATTTCATGATTTATTTTCATAAAACATTTTCTATAAATCAATGGATTGCGGACAAATGGAGAAATATCTTAGTAGTATGTGTTGTCCCAATGGTTCCCCTCCTTAACATAGTCGTTCCCAGATGGGGACCGGTAAACCGCGTCACTCCCTCTCCAACGGTTGAACGGAAACGTAGTTGTGATATAACTATCCAGACAACTGTTCAGTCTCAGATCGATCTTATATCCGTTCCAGTGACTATAGGTCCCGCTTGAGTGCCCTGTTTCAGTCCCACCTGTCACCGTAACTGAGCATCTAAAACATGTATTTACACTTAATAAGTTAAATTATAACCCAGTATTTAGCATGCAAAATATCACCACCACCACCATAGGTTACAGACGCCGAACAACAAACACCAACTGCCACAACAAAAGTGTTGGAGGCTATAACTATGGCATAACTTGTGGTGGTGACATAACAAGAGAATTAGAGAAACAGAACTAAAAACTATTACCCGCTTGGTATCTTAATCTCATTGATGGTTCCCGTGATAGTGGCGCGTCTTATCTGCTCAAGACTTGTGCAGGTTCCATCGTACCTATAATGAAACAATAACTGTGTTAAATACAATATGTACATACACCCCATTATGCCTCAATAGGAACATATGTGATGATGCAATATTTCAGCTAAATATCTTTTGGCACTTCATCATTTTGGTACACTCATTTCTCACAAAATCGTATTTCTCCATAGTTGCAATCCTTCGACATAAAGAAAAAATTCATCTTCGAGTAGCCTACACCAGGCACAAAGAAAACAAACCCTAACTTTTCCGAACCATAATCCAACTTTTTAATCCAAATTGCCGAACCAAAAATGGAACCTTACCTAGATTGCCCCAATTAGAGTATTCTATAGACGTAAACGGTGTTGATTTACATACCTGTCGGAGCATCCCCCACTAGAGCTGATACTAATGCCCGTATCGGAGAGCATCGAAGCAGCCTCGGAGTGGCTCAGTTTATCTGTAAAGAATAAGCATACTATATTTGAAGATACTAATACTACCTTTGGAGCGAATCCCATGGGAAGATCTCTGATATGATGAGTGATGTTATAATAAGTAGAACGTTCAAATGAAATAAAACTATAACATTTTTATAAAATGAAATTATAATTAATGTATTCAATTATTCCATCACTCCAAAAATGACCCTTTAATATTAAGTCATTTTTCAAATATCTGTTTCCTCTGGAATCACATGAAAACCATGAATTCTTTATATTAATTGTGTACCTTCACCGTTATTCTGAACACAGCATCTCCTGTCTGTGGGTCCAGAACAGAGTCCAGTCATCGATGTACCACTGCATGCCGTTGTTTGACAAGTTCCTCCCGCGTCTATACACGCACTATCCTCTAAAAGTAAAGGTGTATCAGTACAATTAGACACCTGGGGGTCGGGCTATTGAAATTCACAAATTGGTCGCTTAATATTTAGTCAGTTTAAAAAAAATCGTATTGCCCCATTTGGGTTCAATTCTTCAAATAATTGTCTAGCTTATCGTCTACCCCCAGGTTTCTAGAACACTACCCCCAAGATATACACACCACTGCAGTATTTAGTTCCCTCTTAAGGAGGTAAGGTGTGTATAGAAAGACGAGTAGGTTAACAGCACATTGACATTTGATTAAAAATATAAGTAGGCCCAGGCTCTAGGTTGTAACACACTCTCCAAATGGGAATGCCAGTTATCACGTAGGGCATTGTACTTACGTAAGCAACATCTTCTATCGACAGGTCCAGCGCAAAGACCGCTTTGAAAGACTCCGCTGCAGGTCGTTGTCTGGCAGTTACCTCCGGCACTTGTACATTCACTATCTCCAGCAGTGTCTACAATATTAGGCGAGAGTTTAAATTGTCTTTGTGAGCGTTGAAAATGTAAGAACTATAAGCTTGTAGTTTAGAACTTTTCCTATCTAAGATATTCTTTAATTCACCACACAGACTGCATCCCTGTCACAACTATGATTGAGAAAAATATTTCTCCTAATTATACACTACCCTCAAAAAGTATAGCATCATCATCATCATCTCACCCTATTTAGACCATGTCTTAAAAGATAAGTCATCCTTGTTATATGTTTTAGGGAAATACATTCAAAATATATCAAATGTTTTTAAAAACGCCATGAAAGTTTTAGCGAGAGTTGCCATTCTTTTACTGAAGAGTTTACATTTACCTACCGATGCAGCATCTTCTCTCTGCCGGACCATAGCAAAGGCCGCTCTTCCAGAATCCACCACAGGATCCAGTATGACAGTACCCTCCTTGGTCCGTACATGCAGTATCGGCCTTCACAAATAATGCACGCCCCAACACCCATAATACTATAGCCACCTTCATTGTCTAAATAGATGCATTTAATTGTCCATGTAGAGAGATCAACGCGGAAATTGTCAAGACTTTTGTTGACTTTTTTAAATAGACAATGAAGACTTTTGACTCTTTATATCGAACGATACATTTTCCCATGGCGCTCCCCTTTCATTTCTAAAACCTCCCATCCCATATCCTTCATTGTTCAACTTATAATCATGCGATTTCATTCTGGCTTTGCTTGACGATTGCTTGACGATTTAGATTGATGCACTACATTATTCAATTCTCATGTGTTGGGGTATAAGGATCAGCACATGTAGTGCCACCTATTATCAACAATATTTTCAGACTAATAATTTCAAAAGGCACGTGCCCAACAAACTTTAATCCCAAGCCATACAAGACTAATTTTCAAAAAGTTCTACGAAAACTTAAAAGGGTTGTAGTGGGGCGAAACTTATCAAAAATCAGAAACAGTCTTCAATACACAGTTCCAGGAATAGAACGTATTAAGAATCTACTGCGAACTTTAATAAACGTCTAGAAATGTGTTGTCGAGTCTTTTAGAAATACCTGTTTAACTTTGCAAACGTCTAGTTTTTCGTCGCTCATAATAAAGATACAATATATTTCTATGTATCTCATACTTGAGTGGGTTTGGGGTAGATATCATCCGGGAATATATTTCATATCTGAGGAGCGGACAGGATATATTGCATATGTCCCGCTCCAGGACAAATGCGGGCAGATATAATATATCCATCCCGCTCCCGAGATTTTTTTCAGAAGTTTAAAAAGTCTAAAAATTTTAAGTTTTAAATTTTAAAAGTTTAATTTTTTTAAGTTTAAATGTTAAAATTTTACTGTATTGAACTAAAGGAATATTACGAAAATGTGAAATATAACTTGTGCTTCTCAGTAGAGGCGTCATTTGAAAAAGTTGGAAAATGTTATATCTACCCCCAAACCCACTTAAGGATGCAGTACCGGGTCAGCGTAACTTAAGTCGCAGACGTTAGATTTTGCTCATATTTTTTACAATGTATCACTATGATTTTATCATCATCCAAGTGCAATATGAAGAGGATTGACCGTCTGGTTATTTCAATATAAAATTTTCTTTTACCCATCCAAAATGTTCCTTTTTACATGTAAATCTATCAGAAAGTAACATAATCTGCTACCCTAATTAATATGAAAATCCTCCCATGTGGACATTTTATAAATATAATTTGTTTCACAAGATCAAAGTTAACAATAAGTCTTTTCTTTTCCTATTTGTTTTTACCATGCACCATTTTTCAAAGATGTGAGTACCGTTGCCATGGTAACTGAGTTATACCAAAACCTGGTCAGACCGACAGGCAGATGGAAACGCCATTTCAAATCTGTGGTGATCAAAATATGTCACCTATTGGGTGGTGACATGATAAATAATAAAGAAAAGTATTATAGAAAACATCACAGATGCGTAGTTGGGTGGGGATTATCGGACCCCCCCCCCCCCATGCTGGAATCTTCAAAATCATTAATTTATCCTTTTTAATTTTCTCATTATTTTTGTTAGACATACATTTTTGTAGTAAATGAAAAATTATGCTTTTTGTGTATTCAAGCCCCCTTCAGAAAAATAGGGATCCTGAGCCCCCCCCCCCCCCCCTTAGTAACACATCAACATCATTTTAAAAATAAATCTTGGGATTTTTCATTTGCGGGTCGCAGTTTCGTCACAAATATTGACTATGTTCAAAAGTAATTTCATCTACAGACAGAAATATAAGAATTGGTGTTCACCAGACATAGGTGTTCACTAGACAAAGGTATTCACTAGACACAGGTGTTCACATTAGAAAGGTGCTCACTAGATACAGGTTTTATTGCACTGCAGTCAGTGGATTATGTGCTAAGAATTGGTGTTCACCAAACTCGGGTGTTCACATTATAAAGATGCTTATTAGATACAGGTTTTACTGCACTGCAGTCTGTGGATTATGTGCTGAGTATTGGTGTTCACTAGAAAAAGGTGTTCTTGAGACACAGGTGTTCATAAGAGAAAAGTGTTCACTAGATATACAGGTTTTGCTGCACTGCAATAAGTTGATAATGTACTAAGAATTGGTGTTCACTAGTCACAGGTGTTCACTAGATACAGGTGTTCTCTAGACACGGGTGTTCACTTGATACATGTGTTCACTAGAGAGAGTAGTCCAAGATATATGAGAATACCATGACAGTGCCTGTGTTCTATATTAGTGAGTAGCCAAAATTAGTTCTAACACGTATATAATATAGATAGATGATGCTGACTGTGAACAAAATTAGCTATAGCGAGTTAATTAACAACAGTCTTGGCTGTGCTTGTATGAAAACCACCGGTTATATTTAGAGAAGTTTTTGCACAATTCTAGCTATAAGATCATCAACTATGACCTTAGGAAGAAACAAAAATCATTTTATTAAGTATACATTGCTCTCTTGATATATTTCGAAAGCATTTGAAGCAGAACTATGGGACAATATAAAAATGCGAAACTGACTTTCTTTGGAGCTAGCTCTACTCGAACCGGAAGTAAAACCTGCGCAAACAGAGGTGAAAATAGACCCGGTACTGCATCCTTAAGTATGAAATACACCAGTTATGCCTGGTCGGTTTTGAATATAAGGTATATCCCTCGGGAAATATGGATATCTCCCTTTGGTCCCTTCGGTCCCTCGGGGAGATATAAATATATCCCTCAGGATATACCCTATATCCTGCAAAACCTCCCAGTAAATAACCCTTATATGAAATACACCAGTTATGCACGGTCGGTTTTGTATGTACACTGTAGGGTATATCCATCGGGAAATATTGGTATCTCTCTTTGGTCCCTCCAGTCCCTCTGGGAGATATAGAGATTATCCTATATGAGGTCCAGGATATTGGGACTATCCCGAGGCAAATATAATATATCTGCCCGAGGGCCGCAGGTCCCGAGGGAAAATATAATATATTATATTGGCCAAGGGATAATCCCAATATCCTGAACCGACTATAGGATAATATGTTTATCCCATACCAATCTTGGTCATCTGGTTCACATTGTTCAATCGTGGAAACATTTAAGAATATTCATGTCCAGTTTTGTTTTCTTGGCCGTGGGCAGATTTTCCTGTTCTCTCAAATATCCCCACATTTATTTTCTCGAATTTTTGATTGATTAAGTGGATGCTCCTTCCCTTTTTAAACCATCAAACAGATCCCGATTGCCTGTGTTTTTTCCATTGTCGTAAACAGTCATTACGCGAACGTTACAAATTATGAACAAATATGCGAGCGGCGATTATGACGTAGCGGGCAGATATACTATATCTGTCCGCTCAGAGCGGGACGTAAAGCTATATCTGCCCGCTGATGAAAATATAAGTTTTTACAAACAGGCTTTATGTACCTGTAACACGTCCAAGTATGGGATGAATAAATTTATCCCTCAGGATATACCCTATATTCAAAACCTCACAGTACGTAACCCTTTTATATCGTTCAGATACTGAAATAAAACTTACCTTCGATATATGTTACATCAATTAGTGTTAAATTCTCTTTGTGTCTTAATATTGGGCGTTCGTGAAATAAACAGTTACTTATATCAATAATAATATTGTAGAATCAACAGATTAAACACAGCTGGAAATAATAAGTTTTCACATGTTTTGTTATTAGGAGGCCCTTCAAGGGGCCTCCTATCATTTTTGTAGTTATTCTTCTTTATTTATTTATTAGGAGGCCCTTCCAGGGGGCCTCCTATAGTTTTTGTAGTTATTCTTCTTCTTCTTCTTCTTCTTCTTATTAGACTCCAGATTGAAAATCTGGAGTCTATTGTTCTCGTCAGTTTTCTTATTCTTCTTCTTCTTATTAGACTCCAGATATCAATCTGGAGTCTATTGTTTTTGCCAGTATTCTTCTTCTTTATTATTAGACTCCAGATGAAATCTGGAGTCTATTGTTTTCGTCAGTTTTCTTATTATTCTTTTTCTTCTTCTTCTTCTTCTTATTATTAGACTCCAGATTGAAAATCTGGAGTCTATTGTTTTTGCCTCTTTTCTTATTCTTATTCTTATTATTATTCTTATACTGATCAAGTTTTCTCAACAACTATAAGGTATCTTTTCAAGACTATTATATAGTCAATTTAGGTATAGTATCTAGTTGGTGGGAAATGGGGTCAAATTTTTATCTAGGTCAAAGGTCAAGAACTAGGTCAAATCCAGTACTTTGTCACTTTTTCCCATTATCTTGGTCGTCCTTCAATATTTTTGATCCAGGTTTTTTTCATTGTGTTCCTCATATAAAAGTAGAAAAACGCAATATGATTTAGATTTTTGATATCTCGAACCGATTTCTAGATATCAGTGTCCGAAAACGAGGTCCAAAAAAAGTTATCCGAATCCAATGTCTAGGATATTGGTCTTATAGGAAATTTTCTCAGGATTCCGAATCTGAAAACAAAATTGAAATCCGACTTCCGGTTTAAGAGTTATGACGTTTTGAAAATTCGAGAAAAATCGATCTGATGGTACCCTTACAGAAAGTCAAGAAAAGTGAAAAAATGAAAAAATACCAGTCCAGTCCATTTCCAGGTCCAAGTCAAGCTCCAGTCCGGGTCCAAGTCCAGTGTTGGTGCAGGTCCAAGTCAAGTCTAGGTCTAAATCCAGTTCAGGGCCTAGGTAAAAATCTAGGTCAAAATCAAAGTTTTTCCTTATTTTTGCGATTCTGACACTACACTTTAATCATATTTTTCGAAATTTTGTATACATGTAGCCAAGAATGTGCTAATAGTGTTAGCCTTTTGCCGTCAGAAAGTATTTTGACCCACTTTTGAGATATGGTGTCCGAAAAGTAGGTCAAAATAAAAAGTTACCCAAATTCATTTTTTTTGAAGTGTAAAATACAAGATATTGACTGAATACAGCTTAATATAATGAAAGCTTTTAAAAGAAGAAGACCTCAAAGCCACCTAGAATCAAAATTTGGTCAGCAAAATGCCTAGGTCAAAATCTAGGTCAAATTCATAGTTTTTAGTTTTACAATTCTGACACTATATTTCAATGATTTGCTTCAAAATTGTGTATACAGGTAGGAAAGAGTGTGCTCATAGTGTTAGCTTTTTGCCGTCATAAAGTATTTCAACCCACTTTTGAGATATGGTGTCCAAAATGTAGGTCAAAATAAAAAGTTCTCCAAATTGAACGTATGAGTTATGAATTAAGGGTAGAATTTCCCCAGGAATCTGAATCTGCAAATCAAATTTCAATTCGATTTCCGGTTCGAAAGTTATGGCGTTTTGAAATTTCAGGAAAAATCGATCTGATGGTATCCTGATAGAGTCGAGAGTAGCGAAGAAAATATTGAAAAATGCACCCGTCCTTCCTTCCTATCCTGTCTGATCCTATCTACCCTTCCTTCCTATCCTATCCTTCCTTCCTATTCTATCCTATCGTTCCTTCCTATTCTTTCCTATCCCTTCTATCTATCCTTCCTTCTCATCATTTCCTTCCTATCCTTCATAACCTACCCTATCCTTCTTTCTTATTCTATCCTATCCTATCCTTCTTTCCTATTCTATCCTATTTTTCCTTCCTATTCTATCCTATTCTTCCTTCATATTCAATCCACCCATCCATCTTTTTCTGGATGACTCAGCTTATTTTTGATGACTCAGCTTATTCTGGATGACTCGGCTTATTCTGTATGACTGGGCTTAAAAAAGTCTCGATCTGGAGTCTGAAATTGAACTTCGTTCAATTTCCAAAGTCTAGTTATTATTCTAAGCACGTTTTCTCAATAACCGTAAGGTTTTCAGTAAAGTCAGTTATTTGGTCAATTTAGGTCCAGAATCTAGTTCCTCGGAAATTGGGTCAAATTTTTATCTAGGTCAAAGGTCAAGAACTAGGTCAAATCCAGTACTTTGTCACTTTTTTCGATTTTCTCGGTCGTCCTTCAATATTTTCGATCCGGGTTTTTTTCATTGTGTTCCTTATAAAAAAGTAGGAAACCTAGGGTCGATTTAGTTTTTTGATATCTCAAACCGATTTCGAGATATCAGTGTCCGAAAACGAGGTCCAAAAAAAAGTTCTCCGAATCAAATGTCCAGGATATTATTCTTATAGGGAATTATCTCAGGATTCCGAATCTGAAAACAAAATTTGGATCTGACTTCCGGTTCGGAAGTTATGGCGTTTTGAAAACCCCAAATTCGCTAAATTTGGTGCCCATGTTAAGTCAATGGGAAAAAATATTTTTTTGAAGTGAAAAATACGGAATATAGACTGAGTTCAGCTTCATATAATCAAAGCCTTTAAAAGAAGGGGACCTCAAAAGCCATCTAGCTTCACAATTTTGACACCGAAATGCCTAGGTCAAAATCTAGGTCAAATTCATAGGTTTTTCTTATTTTTTCGATTCTGACACTACACTTTAATTATATTCTTCGAAATTGTGTATACATGTAGCCAAGAATATGCTAATAGTGTTAGCCTCTTGCCGTCAGAAAGTATTTTGACCCACTTTTGAGATATGGTGTCCGAAAAGTAGGTCAAAATAAAAAGTTCTCCAAATTTAATATATGAGTTATGAATTAAGGGTAGAATTCTGTCAGGAATCCGAATCTGCAAACTAAATTTCGATCCGACTTCCGGTTCGGAAGTTATGGCGTGTCCGAAAAGTAGGTCAAAATAAAAAAGCTCCAAATTTAACGTATGAGTTATGAATTAGGGGTAGAATTTTGTCCACACCATCCCCAGAATGGCTTTAATGCTACACTTAGTTAGAAGCCTCAGCGTAACTTGATCATAATGGGCAACTGCAGTTGAACCATGTTGCTTAGCAATTAGAACAACAAGATGGCTGACAGTCTTCTTGTAAAAAATGAGGGTGTGTTATAAAATCTTGAAGTCCTCTCATGTAAAGTTGGTATAAATTATCAGAAATCAGCTGAATGTGCGGTTGATAAGTGCATGTTGCTGGCTGCTTTTATCTATCATTCTAGATGGGGTGATATCTGTACTTATGTAAGAACTAGTAGGGATGAGAAATTAATTGCTTTTCCACAGATAACTACCAACCCATTAACTTTTAACCCTCAATTAAACCAGATTTTGCCATATAGACCCAAATGAAAGTCACATATTATTTTTCTTCAGAGTGTCCTCTTTAAGCCAATATGTTTTTCACTTGGGAGGCATGGTTACTTTCTGAGATATTTAATTTTCAATCTTCGTAGTATTTCAAGTTAGGTTGTACAGTTTAACACATTAGAACTTATCAATCACCTGAAAATGGATCATTTGGAAAGTCATAAAAAAGCTCTCAATGCATTATGTAGATTGTGTGCCTCAAAAACAACATTTAGTAAAAGGAAAGTAAAGAAGAGGCCTTGTATTTTGATACAATTGGAGTTATTAAAATATTCAGAAATCAATTTGGATAATGATAATCCGGATTTACATCCAAGTTTAGTTTGCAGCAAATGCTACCAGTTTCTAAAGGACACCAATAAACCAAACAGAACAATCACTGAAAGTACAATAAAAGAGAGGATTAATGTATTTGAAAAGGTAAACAAACATTGGACTGAGAATGAGAGTGAAATCGAGGCATGTTGGCCATGTCAAAAACACAAACAGAACAATGCATTTGGAAAATGTACTCAATCAATTGATATGGATATAAGTATCGAAAGTGATTTCAGTAATTGCCTTACTAGTACACCAGTGAAAAATAGAAAAAGTTTTGATATAAGTACAACTGATGCAGACACCTGTATGACTCCAAATCGGGAAAATAATACCGCATTTAAAGAAATATTGGATAAACCAAACAATGCACCTCTAAATTCGCTAGAGGAAAAACTCCTTACCAAACTCATGCGTAGGAAAATAGCAACATCAGACTCAAAACAAGGTGAAGTTTACTTAAAAACTGGAGGAAAGGTAAATAATATTTAATATTTTTATGCCCTTGATTAAGACAAAGGGTGATTATTTTATACATATTTGCTTCAAACATTAGCTTTCTTGAGACTCTAAATTCATAATAACACATACAGAATTACTATTCAAGTAAGCTTAGATCATTAAAATGATTTTGAATGATAAATAATCACCATGGCCACTTAAGAGGTTTCAATGGCCGTATCTAATTGTTATTGCCCTTAACTACTTAGTATTATCTCTTTATTACAGCCACTTGTTTTCATCAGAATTGAAAAGGCTCAAATTCAAAGCAATACAGCATCATCTCCTTTAAAGAGAAAACGTGCAAAAATTGTGGAAAAATGTAGACAAACATTAAGTGGGGGTAAAGATGATTCATTTTTAAATCAAATGTCTAAGGAATTCCGTTTAAAGGCCCGACAGAAGCAGAATAAAGACAAACTATTAAATCTCTTAAAGATAAAAGCGGGGATTGTTACTAAAAAACAAGCTCTTGCAATGAAATCTGCTGCCCGCTTATCTCTTGGTCAGATGAAAGTTATTGCAAGGCAATTGAAACAAAGTAATGTTAACATTGAAAGTCAAAATAAACAACGCGAATACAGAAAAAAACTCCTAGAAAAGATAAAACTTAAAGGAAAGCTTAGACTCCTTGGGAAGCGTGACCTAATATCCCCTAAAGGAAAACAAGGAAAGGTATATGAAAAAATGCCTATTGGCTTCATTGACAACTTACCAATTCACATAAAAAACCACCTAGACAAAATGGAAAAATATAATCTACTTAACTTTGATAGTCCAGTTATTCCACACAATGAAATATGGGTGAAGGTCGGCGGAGATGCTGGTGGTGGTAGTTTCAAAATGTGCTTTCAGATTTTGAATACACCCAATCCAAACAAAACCAAGAATTGCCTTGTGTTTGCTGCTTTTTGTGCGAAGGATACCAGAGAAAACTTAGAAGTACTTCTTCGGAGATTTACCCCCCAAATTGATGAATTGAAAAATGCAACTTGGAATGGTAAAGAGATAAAATTATGTATGTGTGGGGACTATGAATATCTGTGCAAGTGTATGGGACTGTCTGGCGCTGCAAGCATTCATCCATGCCTATATTGCCATATCCACACTGACCTTATAAGCATAACACAAAGGAATAACAGGATCAAATCAAAGCCAAGGACTTTAGGATCACTTGAAAAAGACTATGACAAATTTTGTAAAGAAGGCAAGTGTAATTTGAAAACAGCAAAGCTGCACAATAATGTTATAAACCCTCCCCTACTGAACATTGACATTGACCACATTTGTCCCCCATGGTTGCACATATTGTTAGGTATTGTTAAGAAACATCATGACCTCCTACTGATATTTTGTAACAAAATTGATATTGCTATAGCAGATAGCATAGCAAAGGAAGAAAAGTTGAGGTCTGAAAAAAAGGATACGCCATATGGAAAATATATAAGAGAGTTGGAAAAAATCGAAAAATTAAAGGATCAATTAAGAAACACAAAGAGTATTGCTAAAAAGGAAGCAATTGAAGAGGAAATCAAAGAAAAATCTTCCAAAAATAAACTCCACCTTGAAGCAGGAACAGTTGCCAATGTTTTAGATGAGGTGCTAAAAAGGCACAATATTCACAGAGCCCCATACCATGGAAAATCAATGGTCGGAAATCATTGTGTAAAATACCTGCAGACAGATGTATATACAGATTTGTGTGACCAGGTCGTTTTATCCACCAGAGAAATAGCAAAAGGCCTTGCTATTGAGAACAAAATCATCAAAAAAGCAAAAAAGATTGCAAAGGTGTTCAAGGAAATTAACAACTTATTCTCCAAGGTACACAGATCAGTGGGGCATAGCGAGAAAATTGAAGAATCTGAAATTGAAACAATACAAAATGATATAGAAAATTACCTTCAAAAGTTCAGAGAGTCATTTCCAAAAACCAAATTAACTGTCAAACAACATATTATGGAAGATCATGTCACAGAATGGATGAGGAAATACAAATGTGGACTTGGATTACAATCTGAACATGCCATTGAAAGTATCCATAGTGTTTTTAATGACCTGAATCGAAAGATGTTTGGCATAAGGAATCCCTTGAATAGACTATTGGCGACAATGACAGAGCACATCATCTCATGTGAGCCTGAAATCATGACAGGAAATCCAATTGTTAAGAAACGGATCAAGAAAACAGAGGATCCTGTAAAGATGCAGTAATTGTGAGTAGAAACCCCTTACTATAAAATTGGAACGAGTTTGCATGAGTTCCTTTCAACAATGCATACATCAAAACACACCATGTTTTCCAAGATAAATAAGCCCACACTACACCTTACTTTTCAGGTACATTGTTGCAGTCTTTTTTGAAATGGAGATTTTGGATTCAGGTCTATAAGGTATAGAGACCCTGTGCTGGAAAGAAAGGATATTTGATGGATAGTGTTGTGTTTAACAGTGTAAAATACACATTATAAATTGTGCCTCCCAATAAGTTTTTATACCAATTAGAAGATAAGATTCTATATTTGACAAAACTTTTCATAAAAATTAATTTCATATGGCCAATAGCTAAAAAAACAAGCTCAAACTTTGCATTTTAGCATAACATTAATCTGAGATAATGACTTCATAACTGCACTGATGTATTTCTGCTAGGCGCTTAATTAGTGCTAGTGCCATATGTAAGATAAACAGCTGGTGTCAGATTTCCAGCCATGAGATTTCTAAGTGAAGCTTCAGAACTAAGTGTACTCTCTGGGGCTGGTGTGTGTCAGGAATCCGAATCTTTCAATCAAATTTCGATCCGACTTCCGCTTCGGAAGTTATGGCGTTTTGAAATTTCGGAAAATCGATCTGATGGTATCCTGATAGAAAGTCAAGAGTAGAGAAGAAAATGTTGAAAAATTCATCCATCCTTCCTATCTGATCTTATCCTATCCTTCCTTTCTATCCTTTCTTCGTATCTTTTCTATCCTTTCTTCGTATCTTTTCCTTCCTATCCTTCCTATCCTATCCTTTCTTCCTATTCTATTCTATCCTATCCTTCTTTCTTATTCTATCCTATCGTTCGTTCCTATTCTATCCTATCCCACCTTCCTATTTTATTTATCCATCTCTTTGTAGATGACTCAGCTTATTCTGGATGACTCGGCTTATTCTGGATGACTCGGCTAAAAAAAGTCTAGATCTGGAGTCTGAAATTGAACTTCGTTCAATTTCCAAAATCTAGTTATTATTAGACTCCAGATGAAATCTGGAGTCTATTGTTTTCGTCAGTTTTCTTATTATTCTTTTTCTTCTTATTATTAGACTCCAGATTGAAAATCTGGAGTCTATTGTTTTCGTCAGTTTTCTTATTATTAGACTCCAGATTGAAAATCTGGAGTCTATTGTTCTCGTCAGTTTTCTTATTCTTCTTCTTCTTATTATTATTATTCTAAACCAGTTTTCTCAATAACCATAAAATGTTCAGTAAAGTCAGTCATTTGGTCAATTTAGGTCCAGAATCTAGTTCCTCGGAAATTGGGTCAAATTTTTATCTAGGTCAAAAGTCAAGAACTAGGTCAAATCCAGTACTTTGTCACTTTTTTCGATTTTCTCGGTCGTCCTTCAATATTTTCGATCCGGGTTTTTTTCATTGTGTTCCTAATAAAAAAGTAGGAAACCTAGGGTCGATTTAGTTTTTTGATATCTCAAACCGATTTCGAGATGTCAGTGTCCGAAAACGAGGTCCAAAAAAAAGTTCTCCGAATCAAATGTCCAGGATATTAGTCTTATAGGAAATTTTCTGAGGATTCCGAATCTGAAAACGAAATTTGGATCTGACTTCCAGTTCGGAAGTTATGGCGTTTTGAAAACTCAAAAATCGCTAAATTTGGTGCCCATGTTAAGTCAATGGGAAAAAATATTTTTTTGAAGTGAAAAATACGGAATATAGACTGAGTTCAGCTTCATATAATCAAAGCCTTTAAAAGAAGGGGACCTCAAAAGCCATCTAGCTTCACAATTTGGACACCGAAATGCCTAGGTCAAAATCTAGGTCAAATTCATAGGTTTTCCTTATTTTTTCGATTCTGACACTACACTTTAATTATATTCTTCGAAATTGTGTATACATGTAGCCAAGAATATGCTTATAGTGTTAGCCTTTTGCCGTCAGAAAGTATTTTGACCCACTTTTGAGATATGGTGTCCGAAAAGTAGGTCAAAATAAAAAGTTCTCCAAATTGAATATATGAGTTATGAATTAAGGGTAGAATTTTGTCAGGAATCCGAATCTGCAAACTAAATTTCGATCCGATTTCCGGTTCGGAAGTTATGGCGTATCCGAAAAGTAGGTCAAAATAAAAAATCTCCAAATTTAACGTATGAGTTATGAATTAGGGGTAGAATTTTGTCAGGAATCCGAATCTGCAAACCAAATTTCGATCCGACTTCCGGTTCGGAAGTGATAGCGTTTTGAAATTTCGAGAAAAATCGATCTGATGGTATCCTGATAGAAAGTCAAGAGTAGAGAAGAAAATATTGAAAAATTCATCCATCCTCCTATCTCATCCTACCCTATCCTTCCTATCTATCCTTCCTTCATATCTTTTCCTTCCTATCCTTCCTATCCTATCCTATCCTATCCTTTCTTCCTATTCTATTCTATCCTATCCTTCTTTCTTATTTTATCCTATCGTTCTTTCCTATTCTATCCTACCTTCCTATTTTATTTATCCATCTCTTTCTAGATGACTCAGCTTATTCTGGATGACTCGGCTTATTCTGGATGACTCGGCTAAAAAAAGTCTAGATCTGGAGTCTGAAATTGAACTTCGTTCAATTTCCAAAATCTAGTTATTCTTATTCTTATTATTCTAAGCAAGTTTTCTCAATAACCATAAGGTCTTCAGTAAAGTCAATCATTTGGTCAATTTAGGTTCAGTATCTAGTTCCTCGGAAATTGGGTCAAATTTTTATCTAGGTCAAAGGTCAAGAACTAGGTCAAATCC